TTATGGTTTGGAGGGTTCTTGGCAGAAAGTTCTGTGTCTTTCTATTCTGTAGGTACTTACGGATATCAGACTCCATTGCTCTACCTGTGACGAAGGTTAGGCTGATGGCTGAATAGGAGGGCACCCTTGGGAAGAGCCGCAATTGCTCTGGGGCAGGATTTGGATAGAGAGACAGGGGCTTCCATATCTGTCCCTGGGTAGCTACGTGCATGTGTGTTCTGTAGGTTGGATCCATCATCTCTTAGCCTTCTCCCAGACCTTGGGCCCATTCAGAGTTTGGACAACTAGCCCTCTGGTTTAAAAGACCCACCATGAAAACTGGTGTACACCGCTTAGAGAGTGCTTGCACTTAAAGCGGTATATAAGTCTCATAAATAAATAAATAAACTGAACCAGCACAAATGCTTAATGAGGCCTTAGGCTGTGACATTTTTCTTGAATGTAAGTGTACATACACACCTATACACAACTACACATGGAAACCAATAAAATATATCCCTTTGGTGCAATAGACAACCTGCTGAATCTGAAGTTTGTTCCTCTTTGGTGCACTAACATTTATCCACATTAAACTTGGAAGGTTGACCCTTTAACACCATCCCTGCTACATCAGAGTAATGTGGCCCCATTAGCAGATTAGCTCACATGCTTTGCAAAACCAACAACAACAAAAAGTGCTGCCTGAAGGGAATAAACTTTACCATCTGAGGAAAACATTCTAAGAGATTTGGGACTATTATTGTTTTTCAGGCTTCCTTCTACAGCTTTCTTTCTTTTAAAACCTTTAGCCGGGATGAGCTAAACTCATGTTAGAGGAGAAGAATCTCTCTTCTGATTTCCAAACAAAGGAAATGGTCACTGATGCAGAAGAAACAAAAGGCACTTCTGAGTACCTTTTCAGTTAGATTATTAAATGTATTGTTCTTAAGAGAATCTGAATGAGTAAGTCTGAAACTCACCAGTTACAAAGAGAGAAGGCAGAGAACAGCATCTCTCATCATTTAACTGCAACCTTTAATCATAATTTCACTGATATTCAAGGACTAAAACTGAAATTTGTATGTATTTGCTTAATTTTATTCCACCACTCCTGTGGATTCCTGGCTATTTACAATAGAAATGTGAAGTCTCCTGCTATTCCTAGCATTTCAATTATACTTTTCAAATCAGTTCAAATTTTCTGTTTCTTCCTGCAATCTGCTTTGTGATCTACACACATCCCTCGCTCATTAGCCTCCCACAATGTTACACTTTCTATCATGCTAGGATTAAAATATTTGTAAAGTCCAACTGATACTCCTTTCTTCTCATTCTTATGAGCCAGAGGAATAGGAAACTGCACTGTGAAGGAGACAATGGCTTGACACAATGGCTGCTTTTCTGTCTTCAGCTGTTGGTTGGTACAGCCACTCTAGCGTGAGGTTTTCAGAATGCCCTTCTCTTCCTTACCTTGTGATTCTACCAGGGCTCAGTTCATTTTCTACATGCATGACACAGCTCAGGCTATAGCAGTAAAAGGACTGCTAAATACTTGTCTCCAGTCCCTTGGAGAACTATGTTTCTTCAAATAATGGTTGTTTTTCTTTTTGGGCTGTGCTTTATTGTACTTTTAGAGAATATATCTTGGCAACTAGAGGGCAGCAGAATCTCAACTGCCATACCAAAGCTGCCTTCCTCTGAAGTTTGATTCAACAGAAGGAGGTAAGAAGTCTTTTCTTCCTCCTTCCCCAGTCTGCAGCTGACCGGAGGAAGAGAAGGGGGACAGATCTTAGATGGAGTTTGGAAGAGACCAGCATTATTTCAAGAAATTGGAAGAACTGGGTGAAGCTTGAAATGAATAAAAACACAATTAGGGATTGGGACAACCAGCTTACCACAGAGAATTACACTGCTTTCCTGCACTGAGTTCAAATCTTCAGAGCTAGAGGGACAGCATCCCAAAGGAATGAGCTGGTGGTATCTTTGAGAAATGCTGGTGAGTGGGTGAGGTGCTTGGAAGATAGCAAAAGGAACCCCCATCCCACAGGAAGAGTGCAACTCTGTTTTATGGAGATTGTCTCTAGGCTGCTTATGTTGCCCCTCCCCTTGTTTTGTCTACCACTGAATGAGTGTGGAGTCAACCTGAGCCTCTTCCTAACACTAACTTTTTCTTGGAGTTTAAGGAATGCTTCTGCCCTTTTTGTTCTTTTTAAAGGCTTTTGAATATTTCCCTGAAAGCCACCTTCACGCCTCCCTATTAAAAGAAAAAGGGTGGGTGTTCAACAAATTGGGTACCAGTTTGGGTACCAGTTTGGTTTGGCTAGCTGGGGCGGCTATAGAGCAAACTGTAAGAAGCTTTAAGCCTAAAGACGATCTTGCCAGACTATCATCACTCAGATGATGGACTAAGTAACTGTGTTGGTCATTTGTATAGAACACACCTGGTTGCAGCAAAACATATGAAAATTAGTGGAGCCAGGAAGGCAGCTGCCTCCGGGTGTAGAGCTCTCAGGCCTCCTTCACACCCCATTTCTTGCCCATAATCTTCAGTATGTGGAGAGAGGAGCCACTCTTACTGCTGCTCTGCCAGTTCAGAGATACTTTATTCTGCATTCTGTAAGACTACAACCTGAGTACTTCACTCATTTCCCACAGCCTCTTTAAAGAAATTGTCGATATCAATATGAACAGCTACAGCAAATATTTAAAGTTCAGTTAGTTTTTTTAAAAAAAAAAAAAAGAATGAAGTACCTAATCAGCTTGGATCACATTGACAGGGACAGGCAAGTGTGCCAGGAAGCTTCATGAGATGATTGGGGAAGGAGAAGATGGGCTCAGGGTTCTGTTTTTCCCCTTTCTCCTTAGGGACTCTTGAAAGTCCCAGGATAGCAAGCCTAATGCCTGTTGGGGAACAGCAATGGAGCCCCCCCTCGCAACTTTCAATGCAGATGGAGTATATGTTGGCAACTGCATCCGAGAATTGTTGCAAATGTCTGCAATAAAAATTAAACTAATTCGTAGTAAACATTTCCGCTGCATTTTAAAATACTCCTTCCAAGCCAGTGCAAAAATTGCCTGCTCCATGCTGAGGCTAATCTTCTCTGAGGTGACAGACCATCCTCCAGGTAATAGGGGCAAAAATGGAGTTGGACTCTATGAAACGTGAAGACTGAGGTGCAGAGCTGTCTTCCAGACCACCATGGTGAGGTGGGATCCATCTGAGTGAAGCAGTGGATGGGTTGCTATGGAGATTGACTAATGAAATCCTTGGCATTGATGAGCTTTGATAACGCAGCTCAAAAGAAAAAAAAAAGCAACTCAGAGATGTATGTACATGGGGGTGGGGAGGCAGTGAAAGAAGCAAGTTCCAAGTTGTTCTTAATAGGGGAGGGGACACACAGTGGTTCAGAAGTCTGTCAAGGGCCTTGCAGAGTCCCACTCTGATTGGGCAACATGAAAGCAATGGGAAGGTCTAGATGGGGTTTCCAAGATAGGATGCAGAAGGAGCACATCTACCCACCCAGGAAGCAACATCTTCCCCGAAGGCTCTGCCCTATTCCCAGCCTCAAACTCCTCCACAACTTCCTGTTTCTTTCACTCTTTCCAACTCCACAACATCCTCTTTCTCTGATGAGCAGGCTTTTCAGAGGGTAAAAGGCCTGCTTTTGGAACAGGCTAAGGTCCCATATTAGCCTGGCATCACTGATTGCCTCCTCATGCTCTGCTGCTGGGGTTCGGCTGTGCCTCAGGGTTCTTATGAAGCCCCAGGAGGCTCCTCTTCTGTTTGGATGGGTTTCTCACTTGTGATACTGAAGATTGGCCATCGGCCATTTTCATCTTGGGGCATCATCTCCACACACATCTGCTGAGTTCCCCCACAACATATGGTGAGTCTCACATAACTTAGCATTCAGGGAAGGCCTTCAACTCACTGGTGCTGAGCCCAACAAACAACTTGACTGAGGATAGGAGAGGTCTTACAGGGTATATCAGCCCATTCAGATCAAAGCATGAAGGACAGAGGGCACAGACTGTCCTAAGCAAACGGAAAAAGCCCCTGAGAAGTTCAAGTCCATGCAATAATTTCTTCCTCACAAAGTGAAAGTGATTACTCCCGTGACAATACAAGTTCTTGACCCAAATCTCCAATGCTTAAGTGTGAATGTTCTGAAAGTTATTTTTAAGAAACCTGTTAATTAATTTCTGAATCCTGCTTAATTAAGGCAGGAAGGGGGAGAGGCTGACAGTGAAACAATTTCCTAGTTGGCACCTTTTGTCTCAAAAGTGGTCAGGGATGAAAAGGAGGCAGTTGCAACTGTCCCGAGTATGCTTTTCCTGTCACGCAGCTTTCCTATTACCAGTTTGATTCTGCTTTGTTACTGTTGAGATGCCGCTCTGCAGATGGGGAGCTGGATGGGGAGCTGGACAAAGCGTCTCTTGTGGGAGCTTTCTGCAGCAAACCCTGAGACCTGGGCACTTCATAGGGTCATCTCGGCAGAGCCTGCCCACAAGTGGAGGCTTGCAGTGTCCCTGAAAGTCTGAATGGAAAAGAAAAATGCCAGAGCTAGCTTAGAGATGCAGAATTGGACCAATTGGACTAGAGAGAGTTCCGAGCCCGGAGATGAGACCCGGTCCTCACTGCCCTCACCATCCTCTCTGTTTCTTATCAGCAGGTGGAGGAAGAGAGGGAAGAGGTCAAAGAGCTTGGATCAAGTGAACTCCGAGGAAGCTCCTCGGTCACAGCAATATGCCGTGGGCTGGTTGTTCTACAAATACCAGCCTACTGCTACTGGCTTCTGAATCAGCTCACCCTCTTGTTATTGGGGCCAACGAAAGCCAAAGCCGAGCCAGGAGACCAGGGAGTTCCTCAGTGACTACCATCCCATTGAAGAAGAAGGGAAGGAGGGAGCAACTCTCCCAGCCAAAAACGGATGCCTGGGTACCAGAAGGACAAGACCACGGGCTCTGGCCATTGGTCCCTAAGCTCCCCCCTCCCATCCACCCACCCCTGAAGCTGCCAGCCCAACCCTTGTTGTCTTCTGATTTCACAAAAGAAGATCAGTGCCGTCACCTCCATGCGCCAGCACCTTCCCTTCCCAACACCTCTCTTTTCTCGAACTGCCTGACACCATTGTCAGAAGCGGCAGCGCCTCTTCCAGGCGGGATTCTTTGGCTTGATCTCGGCAAGGCGCCTCCTGCCCCAGGCCCTCCAGCAGTGCAGAAGGGAAGAGTCCCGCCTGGCAGCGGGCCTGCTTTGGCCACCGAGCCACCTTATTTTCCCAGGGAGGCTAATTCCGATGGGGCAACTCGCTGGGCTCTCTCTGCGGGTAGCGTTCTGCCTCCGTCTGACCAACTGCTTCTCTGATCCGGGTCAGAGAAGGCACTTTCCCTGCTGGCGCTCATAAGGTCGCCAAGCCCTCCTCCTGGAAAGGGAGGGGGGAGAGGCGCGAGGAGGAGAAATCTGTCGGCCGCGCCTTGCCGCCCTAACCCTCGCCGGTGTCGGAGGAAGACGGCCGCGGCGGCCGTCCCTGCAGCCGCCGAGCTCCCGAGAGCGCGCGAATTACTCGCAGCAGCCGAGGAACGCTCCTTAGCCATTCGTCAGGCCGCCCCGCCCGCCCCCCTTCCCTCTCCAGCCACCCGCGAGGACAGAGCAGCGCCAGAGGCTTGCCGGCAGGAAGACCGAGCGGCGGCGGCGGCGAGCAGGCGCCCATAGAGCCGCTCCGACAGGATTCCGGCTTCGGCAGCTCCGACGACGGAACTGAGCCTCGGCTCCTCGCTTCCTCGGCCCAAAGGAGCGTCTCGGATCGCCAGTTCAGGCAGGTGCTGTTGATCGTCGCCGGACTTTGGGTCGAAACAGAAGCGCTGGGCGGCGTCGGAGGGGAGGGCAAATGTTGTCTGTGCGCGGCCCCTTTTCAAAGCCCGGGCGACAGACGCGGAAACCGGCGGCCACGGCGGCCGGCGGCTTGCTAGTCCCGTTGCGCGACCTCGAAGATCGGCGCCTGCAGCCCACGTCTTCCTAACACCCATCCGCCCCCGCCCAAGTTGCGCAGCGCCAGCAGCAAGCCGCGAGGGAAGCAGCGAGGGAGGGGGAGGCCAAGGCCCCTCGGCCCTCTTTTTCCGGGCTACCGGCAGCTGGGGCAGTCGCGCGCCCGAGTTCCAGAGAAGGACAAAGGGCTGCGCGGCAGTGGGCGCGTTTCCCTCCGGCTGAGACGCTGCCTGCCAGCCAGGCGCCCCTGAATGCGCACAGCGGAGGGTCTTGCGGCGGACTGCCCAAGGAGACGGGCGGAAAAACCGAGACAGCAACGGCTAGCGGAACTCCCCTCTGCCGGGCTGCTTCATCGGGAGCGGGGGCGGCCAGAGAGGGAGCTGCCTGGGCAGGCTCCCGGCCTCCCCAACCCCCTTGCCTCTGTGGGGCTCTCGCCTCTCTCGCCGGCAGTGCTAGACTCCTCTGATTAATGGGCTGCAGCAAAGAACTGGCGGCGAGGGGCGGGAGGCGGGCGACCAAGTCCTCGGCCTCCGTGCTTGCGGGGACTTAACCAGCTGCGCGCTGCTCCAGGATCGGAACCGAGCGCTTATAGCGACGCTGACCTGCACCTCCCACTGCTGCCCGTCTCGCCATCTAAACGGACGGACGCGGCCGGGTGCGTGTGCATTCTTTGCCCCGGAGAAAGTCGCGCGAACGAGAACCCGGGAGGGCGCGGCAAGAGAGGAACGGTCAAGCCTCCCGTGCCCGCTGGGGACGTGTGGCGGGCAGGCCAAAGGGGCTTATTGCTGGGTTCCAGGGCTGCAGGCTCCGCGAATGGGCAGCTGGCAGTGTGCTCTCACTGTGTCCGCGGCGGTTTTTCTCTGCTCCAGAGCTCCGACTGGTTTTCAGACCTCCTCCCACCGAAGGCTGAAAGGGAAACGTCCCCGACACCCGCTTCCCAGAGTCCCTGCTGCACAATCGCAGAGACGACCTGGGGAGGCAGGGCCCGAGAGTCCTCTCTCTCCAGGCCTGGCCTGGAGCAGAAGGTCACAGGTGTGTCCCCGTGGCTTGGCTGGAGGGACAGTGAGTGCCAAAGCAATACGGGTGCCCCCCTCCATTTTCTGTCCAGGGAGCTTTTGCCAGCGCTACAGGGCGACAGGAGAGGCGCTTAACCCCCAATTTCTCTCCCCGACACTGGTGGCTACCCTTTGCGAGGGAGCTTTCTCGAAGCCACCAGGTGCAGCCTGGCAGCCACCTACGGACAAGGCTGCCAATAGCGCAAGATGCGCTGCCTGGAGTGGGGTCAATGACCACCATTGGCTTCCTTTCACATGTGCCGAGTGTGGTAGTTCAAAAGCCAGCTGCTGAGTTGCCTGACAGGCTGAGGCACAGAGGGATTTGATACCTGCCAGCTTTCAGCAGCCTTATTTCTGAATGCGGGTCTAGGGGTCCTTTGGAACAGCCATAGCCCCACCTCTAAAAGAGCCTGGCTGGCTGGTGACAGAGAGGGAGTGCCTCATTTCTCCCCCCCCCCAGTCTCAACAAAGAACCAAGCCACATGGGCTCCTAACCAGCCACAGCTGGAGATGCCCTGCCCTAGGCACGCTCTGTATGTATTTCCTCTTTCTTTGCCACCTCTCTTCTGTAATTTCTTGTTCTTGATCCTCCTTTAATTAAGTGCGCCAATGCCTACCATATCACCATGTTCATTTCCATTTCCCCCCACGAGTGACTCAGGCTTTGTTCTTACATTTCTCCTCCATCTCAGTTCTGCTGTGTCTAACCCATGGTGTTGAACATACAGATGGAGCTGACATAATTAGGCACACAGAGGGAGACGTTGTAGTAAATAAGGCAGCCATTTAATACGCCCCCTTTTCTACTGGCATGGCTGTTGCTGCTGCTGCTACTACTGCAAAGCTCATTTTCTGGGCATCAGCAGATGCATGGTTGCATGTCACACAGCTGCCCATGAACACCTTTTACGTGAGTGCCTATAGGGAATGTTCAAAAGCAGGGGTGGCCATGAAAGACCCGTTTCTGTCATTTCTTTTACAAAAGCTAACTGAACAGATAACCCACTCGGGAGTTGCTGCAGAAACAGTGTCTTTTATTGTCTTGGGGCAGACAGCCCGGCCAGCTCAGGGCTGATTTGCTTCCCCACCCCTTGTTCTTGCCTGATGTTAGGCTGAGCCTTCCAAGGGGGAAACGTTTCTGTTCAAACAAGGGATCGAGGAGCTCCAGCAGTCTCCCTTTCTTGAGATGGGGCAGCTTTTTCACGTCTGTCACTCTTCCCTTACTGAGGTGCCCATTTTGCTGCTTTAGCCTTATGTTTGTTTTTATCCCAGAAATACATTGGTGTACACATTTCCATTACTTCAGGCTTACTTGTAAGCTGCTTCCCAAACATTTGTCCTGAGCTATTTCTCTTGGAGGTTCCAGGTAATGGAACTTGTTGGCTAATATGTGTTTTCCAGAGCTATTTTCCAGTCTTGGCTGTGCGGTCACCTTCTCCGTAACCAAACCAGATAAAGCTTTCCATCAGATCTCTTTGCTCAAAAGAGCTAAAAAGTGATGAGAAAAACAGTCTTGTCTGTTTAAAATGTATTCCAATCTAATATTTTGCACGATAGAGCTGACAAGTAAGTTCTTGCCAACCATTTTCTTGAGATAATATTAATTAAAGCATGTGAAATGTAACCCTTTAATGTTCACTTCATTTTACCCCTCCTTTGATTTACCTCTCCTAATTGCAAAGTTTTAGGTAAGAAAAAGGTAAAAATAAGATTGAGGAAAACCTGTAGAATCAGGAGAAATGAAGGTTGAGGCTAATGGAAATATGAAAAAGCATTACTTCTAAAAGAATCTTCTAAAAGTTCTTTGAAACTACTCACTAACATACAAAATTAACCTAAAACCAATAATTCTCTCACCAGCCTGAACTTGCTATTGCTCACCACTGTAATCCTCCTTCCTTCCTTCCTCCCGGCCAATTGACCATTGCCAAAGATGGGGAGAACAGCATGAGAGAGTGGAGTATTATTTTTCTGGGCTGTCTAGAAGTACCAGTCCAAACTCAACATTATTTAGGGACCATTGTCCACAAGGACCACTATAGGGAATTGACAGTGTCTAGCTGGACCTGGCTTTGTGCATCAGCCCCTATGACTCCTGCTTTCAGTAGTTTAGACCAAGACTCCAGAGAGGCTTTAGCTGGCCTTTCCCCGTGTGCCTTCTGTCTCCCCATCTCCCATCCTCAGCATCTTTCTGGCCTTGGTGACTCTCCCCTTTTCCTCTTTGGCAGGTGTGGAGTATCCGCTGGCAACCACGGCTGCACTGTAAAGGGATGGCCTTGAGGATCCTCTGGGCAAGGGCCTCCTTCTGCACCTCTAGCCTTGGAATTCTGCTCCTAGTCTACGCCCTGCCTGCTGAAGGGTAAGGTGGCAGAACGGGGGTCTCTTGTCCTAGTGGGGGCAGCTGAGTCATTCCTTCTAACCCAGCCATGACTTTTGGGAGGGAAGCATCAGCCTCCATTTGGACCCACATACTGGCCCCACAGGACTGATTTGCTTATTTGGAGGCTGGCTGGCAAATTGCTCTGGTCAGTTTTTACCCTTCCTGCACTAGAGAAGGGGGGATTCAGCAGTCTGTTGCAGGCTGAATTTACTGCTGGGTCAGTCCCCAAAGCTTCTCAGAGACTAATAATAATAATAATAATCATCATCATCATCATCAATCCCAAAACAACTGGAGCACCACTTGAACACAATTGGCATTGACAAATTCGCTATTAGTCAATCGCAAAAGGCGGCCTTATTAGGAACTGCTTCCATCCTGCGACGACGATATCTGTAATACCATCAAACATCCACATCTGCCTATCCCAGGTCCTGGGTAAGGACTCGATAGGTAGACAAAATGCCAAATCCAGTCTGAACATCTGGCTGACTGTGCGATGATCGATGATAATAATAATAATAATAATAATAATAATAATAATAATAATAATAATAATAATAATAATAATAATAATAATACAGCTCTGTTTTCTTGGGCTTCCCTTCATCATTTGCCATTTGCTGCCCATCAGGCAGAGCAACACAGAGTGGAGCGCCTAGGATGGGGAGGCCACCAGCAGCCCAGCCTCTTGTCTTTCTCACAGCCACAAGGGTAGAGAGGCCAGGCAGTTAGGCGGGGGCCTCTTCTTGGCTGGACACCTTCAGGCAGATGCTAGGGAGGCTTTAATCTGGATTTCTGCCATGAGCAAGAGAGCGACGGATCTATGGATCCATGGGCTCTTCCCAGTGGTGGGATTCAAATATGTGAACGACCGGTTCTTTGTGTGGATGCCGCTTCTGGAAGTCCATTCTGGGCCTGGGCAACAAAAAATTAGCTACCCGTTCTGCCGAAGTGGTGCCAACTGGTTGAATTCCCCCACTGCCTCTTCCCATTCTGAATGCTGGAAAAGAAAGGGATCCCAGGGTTTATCACTTGGTCTTCCTTCTTGCATTTGTTTATGAAGATAATCTTGGCTGCAACTTACAGTTTTAAATCTCTCCCTCCCTACAATGTCACTCTGATGCATCTTCATTCATTCATTCATTCATTCATTCATTCATTCATTCATTTCACATGCTCTCTACCCAACTCTGGGCGGCTTCAATGGCATATGGGGAAGGGTATTTGCATGTGGTGCATTTTGTGGCTGTGAACGTTTCTACCTGCTTTGCCTCACCCTCACCCACAAGGATTTGGACACGAGAGCATCATTATACTACAATGGATACAATAGTTCTTGTTTAAGATCTGTTTCATTTAGTGACCATGTGCAATTACAATAGTAATGAAAAAGTAAACTTGCAACCAATCCTCACCTTTACAACCTTTGCAGATCTGTAAAGCAAAGAAAAGTCAGATGCTAAGCATAGTTATAGTTATAGTTACACTTGGCAACTGCTTTACTTAGTAGCTGAGTTGCTAGTCCCACTTATGATCACTAAATGAGCACTATCTGATTAAAGAATTCCTATTTCAAAATGAAACATAGAAACTCAGACTACTCGCCCCATCTTCACACCCAGAAGGCAGCGTGAGTAACAGGTGTGTGCTGGCGAGCAGGGCTTTTGTTCCTCTGCAGAACTGTCTGATCCTCCTCACAGGTGCAGCAGAGGACAGGAGAGTGTGTGTGTGAAGGTAATGGGAGATATGGCGAGATTCTTAGCCAGAGGAGACTTTGTCTCAGGCTCCTGGGCAGCTCCACGAACAGCTGCCTGTGCCCACTGTGTCCACTGAGTCAGGTATCAGTGGAGTGCCAGGGGGACTTCCTTGAAGGAAATATTCAAAAGCGCTCTAACAAAAGCAAGAGCAGAAGCATTCCTTTAGTCCTGGGAAAGGAGAACATTAGGAAGAAACTTAGGATGGCTCCTCCCTGAGTTACAGGGTATCAGAAGGATGGAGAGAAAGTCTATTAATAAAGTCTATCTTAATCAAACTTAGTTCTAATCTTCTTGGGGAATTTATTTCTTGGCTTAGACCAGAGGTGTCAAACTGCTGACCCATGGGCCGGATGTGTTATGGTGAAACTGCACCCACCCCATTGCTGGCAATAGAAAAAAAAGTCACGACATGTAAGGTGACGTTGCAACTTGGACACCCCTGGCTCAGACGATCTTGAAGGGCTGATAAGCATCAACTCCCTTGATCAATCATCTCATAAAAGTATCATTCTCCTCTAGCGTATACAATTCCCAAACTTGGTCTTCTCCAGCAACACCGCAAATACACTTTCTCATCACAGACACAGCAGGAGAGAACCTTAGAGGTTATCTGGTCCAACCCTTCAGCATTCTGCTAAAATATACTGATGGCTCTCTTCTTTCTCTCTTTGAAGACTTCTCGTGAAAGGGAACATACCACAGCCTGAAGTAATCTCTTTCACTGGTTGACAGCTCTTAACATCAGGAAATTCTTCTTAACATATAGCGTACTTCTTAGAACAGTGGTCTCTAACCCCCGGTCTGTGGATCAGTACTGGGCCACGGCATGCCAGCAATCGGTCCGCACAAACAAGGAAAGCCCCATTCACAGGATGCAGGCAGCATACAAAACCATGCCCCCTCCAGTCTATGGAAAAACCTCTCTCCATATAACTGGTCCCTGATGCCCAAAAGGTTGGGGTCCTCTGTCTTAGAAGGTTCCACCAGCAGTTTCAAGTTTTGCCCTCCAGGGCAACAGACAATGTCCATTATCTTCTGTATACTACCACATTAGATGTCACTTCGCAATGTGAAGTGATGCAATGGCTCCACAGTTAAAGAGGCAAGCTTGTCAGCTAGAAAGCTGAGAACTGGGGTTCAAGATACGAGCAACACACAACAGGGTGACCTCCTGTTCCTGCCCCAGCTTCTGCTCACCTCGCAGTTTGAAAACATGCAAATGTAAGTAGATAAACAGGTACCCCTTCGGTGGGAAAGTAACTGCATTCCATGCGCCTCAGCGTATAGCCATGCTAGCTGCATGACCTTGGAAATGTCTTTGGACAACCCTGACTCTCTTGCCGAGAAACAGAGATGAGCACCACCCTCTAGAGCCAGAAACACCTGAACAGGGGAAGCTTTTACCTTCATACCATCACATCAGATGCCACTTTCTCAAACTAAATTTTCCATTAACCATTCTTCATAGGATTTGATTTCCAGTCCCCCCAGAATCATGGTAGCCCCCTCCCAACTTGTTCCAGTTTGTCAATATCTCTTTTAGATCGCAGTACCTAATACTAAGCAGAGTATGAAAACTGGAGTTTATAAAAGCAGAATGAAGCTGGACAATTACTCCCTATATGCAGTTACAACAGGCCAAAATAGCACCTGCCTCACACAGCTGGTGCACATTCACCTTGTGTTCTACTAGAACAACTTTTTTGCATGTTCTAACCCAGATCTCCCTATACTAAATACATGCACAAATGTGTTTGTGTACCCACTCATATACACAAGTGCAGGACTTGATATGTCTGCCACTAAATTTCATTCTGGGTTGGTTGTTTTTCTGTTTTTCTAGTTTTCTTTTGTTTGTTTTGTTTGTTTTATTTGGGAGGGAAGGAGGGAGGTCCCAGTATAAAATACGTATAGAACTTTTTGAAATGTATTTTTCTCCCTAAACTGTTAGTCGGTCCCCCTAGTTTGTGAATTTGATCCCTTCAACCCATTCATCCAGGTCATCATTAATAGAGAGGCTATTAATAGAGAGGCTATTAGGGGTGTCCAAATTCTGCCCTGCAGGCCGGAGGCATCATAGCAAAACCTACACTCACCCCAATGCTGGCAATGGCAAAAAAGTCACGATACGTCGCACACATCACGTGACATTGCAAGTTTGACACCCCTGGCCTAGGGCCCAGGACAGGGCCCTGCAGCACTCCAGCTGAGCCTCCCCAGCCAGCTAAAGTGATGCCATTAACAAGCACTCTTTGGGTGCAGCTAATTGTAAGTCCATCTAACCAAAGCTTCATCTAGCCCAGATTTTACCATGTTATTAATGATGTTGTCTACAGTAAACTGCCTTTGTCACTTTATGCAGGAGTGGAAGTATGGAGAAGATTATGCCAGCAGGCCTTTGGGATTTACCTGAAATCTATTTAGACAGAGTCTCGGAGAGTCAATCATCATCCAAGTCCTCCTCAGATGTGTTGGATGGAGACTTGTCCCAATAAGTCTGACTCCTCTAAAGAGATAAGATGTGATAAATGGAGGTGTGTCTTGATTTTTTTTCCCATCTCTGTTGTCCTGACAGACTAGCCCAAAAACATGGTCCTGATATCATTGATGATGACAGCAAAGACAACATAACCATCTTCACACGCATCCTGGATCGTCTGTTAGATGGCTATGATAACCGACTGAGACCTGGTCTCGGAGGTAAATCCATTTTACCTGTGTTTTCTGTGGTTTCTTGACGTCCATAAACTAAAGAACTATTTCAAGTTTCTTTGCATCCTTTGTATATGAGATGTTTCTGTTATTTGAATTTAGATACAACCAGCTCTTGGTGGCTTACTTTGTTCTGTGCCCATGGAGCAGCTGCTCCTACCTGGGGGGAGGAGAGGCACTGAAGCCTTCAGCAACACAGCCTGTGGGTACAGTGCTGGCCCTGCAGGGCATCCGCTCTCTTCTTCTACTTCAAGTTGCACCTGCACTTGTCTGGGCAGGTGTTCTGGAGCTCTCTGATCATGGGCGAGAAGTTCCTCCTTGAAGAACTAGGAACAAGGCACCTCCATCTTGATGTTCTATGAAGCTGGGAGAGATCAGGGGTCACTGTGGTTATCTCACCTGCTCTTTCTTGTCTACAAGGTGCAGTCCAAGTCACTGGCAGAACCAGCAAAATCATTGCCAAGCTCTGATTCTCCGAGTCATTTTTACACAAAACTGGTTTGCACTTAATTTTGAATTGATGGGGATTTACATTCATCCAGTAATGTCTGGGATGTATGCTCTTCATCTCTTTTTAGTCAATCTATTTCTGTAATTCAGAACACTATCCTTCTTTCTTTCCAACTGAAGCATGGCTGCAAGTTCTTTGAATCTTAAAATTAAGCAGACTTAATTTTAGAAAATCTGCCTTTCAAAAAGCATTTTTCCACATCAATTTGGACTTCATAAGTCATATTTTACCATGAATCTGTCCAATATTCAGTGGAATGGTGGTAATGCATCAGGTTAGTTTTCTCTTCTAAAGCATGTTCCCACTATCCAAATTGCATCAAGCTGTAAAATATGTGTTGTCACAGTGCAGTCCAACATGGAAGGGACGGTAAAGCTGGCTCATGTTATTAGTTATGCAGCTAGCCTCTTGGCCACCACTGAGCACTATTCCCACTCAAGGGGAAAGTGTCGAGCTGGTGCAACTCTACAAAGAGAAGGATTAACATGGCCAAAATATGTGGGCTTTTCCCTAACGCTCCACCAGAAGATCAGGTGCTCTTCTCAGTGCTGATCCCGCTCCTGCCTCGGTTGCATTTGTTCCCAGCCACCAATGATGCTTGACTTTCCTCCAGGGTGACAAAGCCTAACAGAGTTTATGTAACTTGAGTTTGTCCTTGGATGTGGCAGAGTAAAGGGAAAACATTGTTTAAATGCCAATGCAACAAAGGATGACTTGAACCTCTCTCATGGATGGGCTGGGCCCCTATTGCTGGCCAAGGCATGCATGACTCCAGAGCTGTACGGTCTATCTAGCATAGCCATCTCTTTCTGCTCCCTGGCAGTGCTCCCCCTCCCCTGTCCCCCAGCTCCAAAAGGGAAGGCTGGATTTTCCATTCCTTTTTTGCCCTGGGCATCGTGTCTGGGGATGAGCAAGGTTTGTTCTCCTTTTCTGCATTGCCACTAATAGAGCTCAAATGGGCACCCACCCACCCCCGCTCGGGGAATTTCTATTTTCCTGCCTCTAGGAAAACAGAGGGTCTGTCTGGCTTCCTCAGTTCTGTCATGGCAACATAGCTGCTCACTCGAGAGCGATCCTGAGAATTAATGGACAAGGTTGGCCTACCCTCACAATGTGGGGAAAGGCTTATGTGGAGCCACAGGAGGAGCACATGATTGCAGCTTTCTAAACCTTTGCCTAGGCAGTGAGGAGGGGCTTGGCATCTTTGAGCAAGGGTACTCGCTAGTCTACCCTCCATACCTCAAGCTCCCAGTCTCACTCCACATCCTTGCCAAGACTCCTCTTTGTGCAAACCTCCTTTCTTTTCTCACCCAGAGAGAATGTTTAGGGAAGAACTGTAATTTTGGGTGCCTCCTACCTGGGGAATGGTGCAGCTCACTTGGCTGTTGCTAAAATAAAGGGAGGTTGCATGGAAGTTGCAGGCCATGTGCTAGAAAGGAAGTAGAGGTGGTGGTGGAGGAGGAGGAGGAGGAGGAGGAGGAGGAGGAGATGCCCCTCCCAGGTTTGGTCAGGACCACAGTTTGGCATGAGCTCAAGCTCCTTCCTACTCACCCTCCCTCTCTTGCCTCCCTTCTGGAGCACTCCTCTGCTGGGTGGGAGATGCTTCGGGTTCCCCACACAGACACACACACACACCCATTGTGGAAGGGCTTGCAAAAGCAGAATGACAGAGCAGAACTGGAGCAAAGCAGAAGCTGTGGGGCTAGGGGATCACCTGAGCTGCCTACTTTGCTCCAGGATGAGCCAGAGTCATTGGCTGCCCTGGGGAAAAGGGCAGAAACTGGCAAACTGGTGAGACCAAATGAACTGATCTTCATCTGGTTTGTACCAGGCTCAAAGTTGGATTTTGCTCTCCATGGCCCCAAGCAAGAAAGAGGGAGCCTGCATGACACTGTCATAAGAGCATGGGCTAGAGGGGCTCTATATGTCAGAGGCAGAGACTACAAATAACGAAGCAAATAAAATGAGTAAGTGCACCTCTGCATGTCCAGGTTGTCTGTCTAGGAATCCCTCAATTGCCCAAGAGGCAGCACTGAGAGAAGAAGCCAAAATATGGTGCCACCGTGCTTTGAATTAAAAAGTGTGGTGCTTTCAAGGGTGGGGGAGTGGCTAGCAAGAACGGACTTGATGAAAGCAAGTTCTCTGTGCCAGAAATGTCTCTATGAAAGGGGCACAAAATACGGAAGTCCAATACTTATCACTGGGATGACTTGGATTCAAAAGGAATGGGAGAAAAAAAAGACACACAGACTTAAGCCACCCATTTCACTGTATATTTTGGTCTCACCAGGCATAACAGGTCTTTTATGGCTGCTTGAATATAGTGTCAAAATGCAAGTAGTTGCCAAACCTTCAGATGCCGTGGGTTGAGGGAGATACTCAACTGAAAAGGTGATTGGCCTCTTTCCAAGGGAATGGCTCTTCTTACTTGTGGGAAGGTTATGTGGATGGAGGGCAAAGACCTGAAGGGGTATCCATGTAGAAAAGCCCTTGGCTTGAAGTACTGAATGGGGAGGTGTTAATGGGTAGTCCCGTGGCCTGCCTTGGGGGTATGGAAAGTCCTGGTCCAGGTCTGCAGGCCCCTTATCTTGCTGGGGCAGGACTGCAGCCCATCCCATTGTCTGGCTTAAATATTGAATTAATTAATCAAGTCTCCAAAGCAATCTTCAGCAGCAGCCCCATGTGAAGCAACTGCTTTAAGCAATATGTAGCCTGTGCCATTTAACAGAATTTGGAAACATTATTCTTGGGTGAATGCTGATGGCATGACAGGAGATCCATGGACCACATCATGTGTGTGTGTATAGAAATCCTATAAAATTAAAATGCATAAAAATGCAATTTTCTGTTTGAATTAAATTCTATATCTGATTTACTTTCAAGGCATAGGATTATTTTAGACATCAAAGGATGCCCCAAAGCATGGACATTTCAAACAAAAGACAAGATGCTAATATTATATCAAGATATGTTTGCTCTGTAAATACAACTCATTTTCAATAGCTATCATGTGTTATGTTGTTTCAGATACAGTAACTGAAGTCAAAACCAATATTTATGTGACAAGTTTTGGCCCTGTCTCAGACACTGACATGGTAGGTGATACTCTGTTACATCCACATTTCCTGAGAGATAGGGATGCTCTCAACTGGCAGAGCAGCATTGCCTTAAAATTTTTTGATATTATGGCCTCTCCTTTCCCAAATGTCTGCCTGCAGTTGGATTTTAGAGGGAGGGATGGGGAGCAATAGTGGGGTGATTCTCAGCAGGAATCCATCAGGTTCCAAGGACTGTTCTGAAGGTTGGGTAGGTGTTGATGGGCTCTGTAGGACCAGAGGGAATGGCTTCCCAGGGCCAATGGAAGAATCCTCCAGGTCCCTGGAGCTAAACTATCAATTTAACTTCTGACCCAGAAGAGCAGATTGGCAACGGTTGCCCCTGGAGGTGCCATCTTTGGTTGGCAGCAAAGAGGTCAGTGGGGCTCCAATTTCTGGTGGGGAAGAGAAGGGAAGGGAAGGGAAGGGAAGGGAAAGAAGTGGATATCCCTTGAAGGGAAATAGGAATCAGATAGCTGAGATCTGAACATTCAGGAAATAAAATCCTATTCATGAGAAGAAAACAGGACTAGTTTTCCATGCGCTCTTTTTGGAACTATGGTGGGGATTCTTCCTGGGATTCTCCAGCTAATACAGACTGAACCTGCCGGCAGACTGGAATTCTCTGGTTTGTTTGGGATTGCAAGCCTCACTTCCTCTGGCCCAGGGAGAAGCTCTTGGCCGAGACCGCTGACTCATTGGCACATATTTACTGGGATCCAAACCTGCCTACTTCCTGAGTCAAGGGAGCGGATTTGGGCTCCCTGGGGTCTCTCAGTCTGGGCCTGTGGGGTGAGATGTTTGAGTTCCTCCTTAGCCCTCAGCCCTGCTCAGTCTGCCTGTGGCCTATAAGCAGTGCAGGCCCCTGGTTTAACGGGCTTTCTCCAGGCCAGCATAGTTGTTCTGTTTCTACAGCTGATCTCCTTTTTGCAGATGAAGAACGAAGGAATCTCCGCTGCTGCTCTGCCAAATGGGTGACTCAGAGCACCTGATCTATAGGGTGGTGATCAGGGTGCTAAAGCATCCAAAGTCACCCCAGGTTTGTAAATCAGGCACTGCAAACCATCCTGGTGAGGAATCAGGGTGAGAGGCAGTTGGTTCAGTGCAATAGTGCAGGGTAGATTCAGGGTTGCCTCAGTTTAAAAGCGAAAGCTTCACTTTCACACCCGATCAGGAAGCTCCAAAGTCTGAACAGCTGCCTCCGTTTGAATTCCGTTTCATTTTGGACTGTTGTTCTCTCTCTGTCTCTCTCTGTCTCTCCTCCATGACAACTGCCTTATTGTTGCACGCTAAGCCAAGAACCCTAATATATTCAATCATTCCACCTTCAGGGAGTACCTTGTCATTACTATAAAGTTAAGCATATTTGATTAAGGGAGCATGTATAATGAACTGTGAAGAAGGGAGAAATCAAAGTAGTTGAAAATGAATTGCATTTTCTACTACTACGTGATCTTACAAAATTTGCTCAGCGGAAAACAAAGTTGAATGCAAGTGTTTGCTTCAGTTCTGCACAAATCCTCCTCCTTAGCCAGTGCATCTCACCCATGGATCTTCTTTTGGCGGCCCCTTTGTCCTCCCCTCCCTCAGGGGAGCGCCCAGAGGCAGGAACCGGCTGATGAGGGAGCAGTCTTTCCCTTCCAAGGGGCTGTGGACCCTGGGGGCCAGCTCAGCTTTTCTGGGGAAAGGGAGGGAGCAACTGCTGCTGTGGCTGGCAGCGCTCTGCATCCATTATCATTAGTGCTCCTTGCCACATGATTGTTGCCATGGCAACCGCTGGGAGGGGGATCAGTTTTTCTGCACTTGTTGCTGGGCTTTTTCTCCTTATGACGATGGAGGGGGGCTTGGAAACACCCAGAGAAAAGCTCTGCAGCATATCCTCCTGAGCCTACAGGGCCCTGCTGCCCAGACCAGAGTGAGGGTTTGGGAAGAGAAGGCTTGATGATTGCCCCCTCCCCTCCCCCTCCCCTGTAAACTGGCTTCTGGGAAGAGCAGCTGATGTTCTGCCAGGATCCTGTGATCTTTTCCTGCAGCTGCTTCCACACCTAGGGCAAAATCCTGCACGGGCCCTTCCATGCTCTGAGAGGAATCCAGCAACTGGGCCTCTCCTGAGGCCTCTTACTATTTTATTGCTCCTGCCAGTCATTTTTGTTCCCAAGAAAGTCTGAAAAGTGAGCACTGCACCCGCAGCCTTCTCTGCATTTGAGCTGCTTCTAGGGACAAGAGCATAACTAGGGCGCCCCGAATGATCTTGGATTTCTTTAGCCATCCCGCCGGCCCCAGGGCAAATAATCAGTCAAGTTAGGGCAGCGCTGAGACAGCACAACAGTTGCAGTGGCAGAAGCTGCCTGCAGTAAAGCTGACAGGGCAGAAGTGACCAGGGTGGGGGGCAGGAAGGCAGGACCATGAGTGGTCTCAGGGTGCAGGACAAGTGGACCGCAATGTATGATGCTGGGGTGGTGGCACAAAAGGTCTCTTTGGGTTCTTCTCTCTGTGGGGCTCTGAGGTGCTAATTCTGGTGTGAACAGTCAAGACCAAGGCAGACATTGAACAGAGGGCCCTGGAGAGGTGTGCCATGGTTTCCCCTTGTGAAGTCTGTTGGATCCAGGATTCTTCTTTATTGTGGGCAGGGCCAAGAGAGGGCCTGCTCCTCAGGCAGCCTCATCTTCAGCTGCTTTTTTCATCGGCAGGAGTACACCATCGATGTCTTCTTCCGGCAATCCTGGAGAGACGAGCGGTTGAAATTTGATGGTCCAATGAAGATTTTGCCCTTGAATAACTTGCTAGCCAGTAAGATCTGGACCCCAGACACCTTTTTCCACAATGGAAAGAAATCGGTGGCACACAACATGACCACACCAAACAAATTGCTTCGATTGGTGGATAATGGCACTCTCCTCTACACCATGAGGTGAGCTGGGGTGTCTGGGGTTGGGCGTCCCTGGGGTTGAGACAGAGGCGCCCTGCCAGAAGCCCCTTCGGCCTCGATGGAGGAGAGACCCCTGCTTTACCCGCACCATTGCTGTGACCCTGGAGGCAGCAGGAGGCAACTTCAGATTGGCTGCTGAGCGGTCAGATGGGGGAAACTGGATTAGCCCCTGCTTACCATGGAGCTTCCCTCTCAATGCCACTTGCAGAATATGACAATGGGCTTTGGCACACTCCATCCCACAATGTCGTGTGCCTTAGTGGAGTAGCGCTAGAGGGCTATCGAGGCAGTTTTGAAAGCATGCATTCTATGAGTCAGCATCCTCTCTGGTGGAAAGACAAGCTGGGGATAATGGAGAAAGAATCCGGTCAAAGGGCTCGCCATAGGCCTCAGGGCTAAATCCTGGGAGTCTCTTGCCTGACAGTGGACCCTCTGCCTTGCAGACTGACCATTCATGCAGAATGCCCCATGCATTTGGAGGATTTCCCCATGGATGTGCACGCCTGCCCATTGAAGTTTGGGAGCTGTAAGTACTCCATTGTTGTTCTCTAGCTTGAAGGGGAGGGAGGCTTTTGCCCGCTTACACTTGCATAGGTTGTGATGGCATCACAGTCTGCATCTACAAATCAAATTGAAAACTGGCCCGCTCCTACTTCTTCTGATTTAAGAACTGAGGAAGCTTCTTGGGTGAGAAGCAAAATATTTTCTACCAGGGAATTGCGCAGCAGCTGTCCACATGAAGTTGGAGACACTGACAAAAACTTGTAGTTTTATATAAATATACATTTATATTTACAGCAGACAAGATAGTCAGGAGCATCACGAGCTAAATCATTAGACAGTATACAGAGCACAAAGAAGAAAAAAGGCAGGAAGAGAAGCTTCCCCCCTTTTCACCCACCGCAACCGATCACAGTGCAGTTGCCTAATGTAGGAGCCAGCACTCTCCAACCAATCAGCCACTACTCTGTGTTCTGGCCCATTGCACACTTTACTGTTCCAGCTACCAAATTTAATAGCCTAACTTTTCCAAGAAGAATCCAAGAAAGTCCTGTTGCCTTTTGGAAAAAGCAGCTTTGGGACCTCACCTTTACTTTGCTCAGAGTTCCTATGGGGAAGCCAATCTTGCAGAAACCCGAGTTGTATGGGGCTCTGTAGGTCATGAGCAGCAGCTTTTCATACCCAGCATTTGTGTTCCAATGGTTGTAATGCAATAAGTACTATATAGAGGCCACTGCATTTTGCAGCAGTTGAAAGTTATTTATTTAAAACATCTATATAACCAACTTATAACCAACTTATAACCAACTTATAACCAACTCAGGGAGGCCCACAATCCAAAGGTTTGTAGGTGATCATCAAGTAGAACCCCATCTAGAGTGAATTACAGCAAGGCAAAGACCTCTTCTTTAGTGCAACCCCCTCGGGATGAGGCTGCCACTACTCCACCAACCAAAGCTGGGCAAAGGCCTTCTGGGCATAGCTTCCACCTGTTCTGTAATTTTTCCTCCATAGATGCCTATACCACAACAGAAGTCATCTACACTTGGACTCTGGGAAAAGTGGAGGTGGCTGAAGGTGGCTCCCGCCTCAATCAATATGACCTCCTTGGCCACAATGTAGGAAGAGATTCCATTGAATCTAGCACAGGTAATTCGGATGCCTGAAGGCAACAAGAAGAAGACTGTAGGAATAGAGATCACTTTTATAGAGGGTTAAATGGGGGAGCAATTTTGGGGAACTTACTATTGGATAATCCAATGAACAGCATGTTTGATTTCCATAGGGGCTATATTTGTAACACACGGTCCTTCTTGTGGCAAGGAAAAGGAAAAAAGCTTTTGCTCCTGTGCATGTAAGCTCAGAAGAAGGCAGGACCATGTAAGGAAATTTGTACCAGTATCTTAGGGCAATAATTCAAGTAGTGTAAGCATGTGAACCAATTCACTGAGTAGACTTGATGACTCTACCTGGTTTCATGGAAGGAGATTGTAGAAGACCCTGAGAAGGGCATTGCCAGCTACTTCATTTCCCTAGAAAGATGGCATCACGATTTGTGATCAAAACAGAATTTTTACAAAACAATTACAGATGTGGTATGTGAAAGGCAGATTTTTAAATCGTGATGATATAGATGTAGATGCACCCCAGTCGTTAACTGCAGTTGGTCACCCCAGTGAGCAGCTTTACTGGACATTTATAAAGATGGTAGCTGAACTAACACATTGCTGCCTGGCCACAAGATGTTAGTATCACTGTATTGTGGCCTTTCTCTTTCCAGGGACCTACACTGTAATGACTACTTACTTCCATCTCAAGCGCAAGATCGGATACTTTGTGATCCAGACTTATTTGCCCTGCATCATGACAGTCATTCTGTCCCAGGTTTCCTTCTGGCTCAACAGGGAGAGTGTCCCAGCCCGAACTGTGTTTGGTGAGTGTGTCCTGGGGCAGGCTGCAGGGAGAAGAGAGCCAGCAGGCACCCACAGCCTGGGCCTTTTTGTCTTACTTGCCTGGACACTCTGCCTGTCCTCCTCCTCCTCCTCCTCCTCCTCCTCCTTGTCCTTCTTCTTCAGAATGAAAAGACAATCACAAGAAAAATGCATTATAAGACCAGGAAAAGCCAGTGTCAAAATTGACCCTTATATAAGTACATAGGCTGCCTTAGGAAGTACAAACTGAGATCCTTGTTATGTGGACGTATGTAAAACTATTAGATACTTATTGTGTGGGGTTCTGTAAGGTTCAGCACTCTCTCCCTCCTATTTAGCATTTACATGAAGTTGATTATGGAGGTTGTTTTTGTTTTTAGATTGGATGGGGTTTTTAACCATTATTGCGTTGTACATCACCCTGAATCTTGTGTCTGTGAGATGGACAGCTATTATATATGAATATGCTAATTAATTAAACAAATAAATAATAAAATACTCTATAACACCAGCATTGTAGATTCATATTCAAAATCGTAAGGATCATTTATTAGAAGACATTATTAATATAGCAGATAAGCAGTGCCTGAATTTGTTGTTCATTATATAGGTTTTCAGACCTCATTGATGCTGTATTTTGAAAGACTGATGTGTGACTTTCCAATTTATGGGGAAAAAAACCAAGACAAAACAAAATCCTACTTGTCCGAACAGAGGAGAGCCTAAGGGTGGAAGCTAGCCTTCTTCAGCTGCCTCTGATCTGTTCTCCTTTTCACAGGCGTCACTACAGTGCTGACCATGACCACCCTGAGCATCAGCGCACGAAATTCCCTCCCCAAGGTGGCTTACGCAACAGCTATGGACTGGTTTATGGCAGTGTGTTATGCCTTCGTCTTTTCTGCACTGATTGAATTTGCTGCCGTCAATTATTTCACTAAGCGCAGCTGGGCCTGGGAGGGCAAGAAGGTACTGGAGGCGCAGGAGATGAAGGTGAGAAGGGAGGGGCAGAGGGCATCAGAGGTGCCAGGGCTTAGTGACCCAGAGAAATTCTGGCCATGTTCCCACAATGTAAAAAGCTACAACTTGCTTAACCTCAAAAGGGAATGGTGCGATTGCGATCCAATTGGCCACCATTCTTTTTGTCATGGTAGTTTAAAGAGGACAGTACGTACCAAAGCTCTTACATTTGCATCAGAAAACACCACCAAGAGAGGGTATCCAATTCTAAATATTAGAAGTTCATTTCTGAAGGGCCTGGATTCCAGGAGATGCTCTGTTTCAAAAGATTGTGCCCTGCTGGCCCCTTCTCTTCCAGAATAGAGATCCATGTTAGGGCCAAATCAGAGCAGCCCTTTTTCTCACCCTTCCAGAGGCAAATATCTCTGGATGCACTTGCATCAATCCCACCGGGCCATTATCTCATCTTCTTTGCTTCTCTTCTCAGAAGAAAGAGCCAGCCACATTGGCTAAGAAAACCAACAACACCTACAACATTGTGGGGACCACATACACTCTCAATATCACCAAGGAGCCTACCCTCCCAACCATTGCCAAGAACGCAGCTGCTCCCACAGCCACACCTGCTGCTGTGGTGGTCCCCCCTGTCAAGTTGCCCCGATTGGAAGAGAAGCCTCTGGAGAATAGGAAGACCTACAACAGTGTCAGCAAGGTAGACAAAATGTCTCGCATTGTCTTTCCAGTCTTGTTTGCCATTTTCAACATGGTGTACTGGGCAACGTATGTCAACCGGGAGTCAGCTATCAAGGATATGATCCCCAAGGATTGAAAGTAGCTGTGCACCCTCCATATGTCCATGCAATTCCGGACAGAGGAGCCCGGGGGGGGGTGCTTTGGTCCCCCTGCTGATACTATAATCATTTTTATCTTTTATTATGATTAATATTATTCTGCTGATTTCCTTCCTCTCCTATGTGAACCAAACTGTGATTTTTTTTAAAAAAAGAAAACAAAATCAAGAATGTTATTGGATGTAGGGGCAGGGGTTGTCCCTAGGAGACGCATGGGGAAAGGGGTGTCTGTCTTTGAGTCTGATGTTTCTCTGCCCCAATCTTGCCTACTCCTCTCCATTCTGCCAGGAGCCAGCTTCCTGTCTTGCTCATCTTGCATGAGACATGCCAAGGGGCTCCTGATGCCCAAGGCCTCTGGGTAGCTGGGGGGGGGGGTGTTTCTCACTGGAGTGCCTGGGATTTCAGTGAGAAAGATGTCCCTCGTTTGGAAAACAAGTTAGGTCCCCTTGGAGCAACTTGACCATTCGGAAATTGTGATGAGAGCAGAAGGGGTAACTTTGGCTAGCAGACAGATCTAGGACAGCCACTCACAGAGTCTGGGCAGGTCCTGGACTCAGTACTTGCATGTGCTCACGAAAACTGCTAGGATATAACAGGAACAGCAGGTGTCAATACTGATCAGTTGTCGATTTCAGGAACTTTGCAATTTTATCATGACAGACTTTGTACTCCATGGGATATTTTTCTGAATTCTTCACTGGATCTATGGTTCAGAATTATTTGTTTCTGGTCATGTAGCAGTACCTATATATAGCAGATTTTATTATCTGTTGTTATCTAAATTGGATTTTGAAATTTTATGAATATTACATAAGCTTAATTGGCTGTTCCTTCAGAGAAATTATTTTTTTTATTTCCTTTATTAAGCCATGTGCATGGACAGATGTGCACATTAAAGCATAGTGCACCATGGTTTCTTGAGAATGCATTTGTGGAATGAATGGATCAACATATGCATTTCAATTTTATTTCATTATCAATATACATATGTGATAAATGTGCACTTACAGTTTTTTAAAATATTGCAAGTACACAAGAAGCACCTGGGCTTATTGGAAGCATCTCCTCCTCCTGTGAAAATGAGCAAATCGTCTGCAAGCCTGAACTGCTTCCTTCTGAAGATAAGAGAAAGAGGCTGATCCACCTTTCAGTTTAAAGAATGAACGGAAAGGAGGGCAGACACTGTCCCATCTTCTGGCCCTCCAGCCAGCAGGAAAAGCAGGAGAAACCAGCCTGATTTGGAAGGGATCAAGCAGAAAGGAGAGAAACCAGTACACTTGTTCTACGGCCCTCACTGGCTTCTGTGGCCTGGCCCCCTGGTTGATATTTTGAAAGGGAACTCATGTTCATTCCAGATTCAACTGCTGTGTGCAGCTGGGGGGGGGGGGAAAGGGAGCTGCTTAATATCTGTGGAGCCACCCCCATCCCCACAACAGGACAAGGGTGTGCAACTGAATGCTCCTGCACATTGCAGAGTTTCCGCTTTTAAAGATGAGTACTAATTCACCATTGGGGATAACATTATGGAGGCTGCTGTGACTGGGCTACTTGTGAAGACAGAAGGTGTACAAATAGAAACGAGCTGCAGTAGTTGCAATTTTTAAAACATGTGAATTTGGTAAAGATTGGGCAGAACACAATACAAAAACCAAATTAAAAATAATAAACAAGAAAGACATGGTAAGAAAATAGTGGAATTTCTGATATGCCTAAAAATAATCATCACCAATGAACAAGTAAAAAGGAGACTAAATACAAAATAGAAGGATGAAAATATAAAGGATGACCAAATGGCTTTTCCAGGCTTTGGGCCAGAAGAGGACCTCCTTTTTGGTCCACCCTCCATTTGACGACTGGGGAACCCTCTGCTTGTCTCTTATTCTTTGGCATCTGTCAGCCTTTCTCTGTTTTTCATGGAATGATTTTCTTGAGAAGGCTTGGGGCTTCATATTTAAGTTTTGAACTTACAGTATAAGCATAAAATATACTATTCTTCATTTTCCATTATTGTCACAATAGTTTGAACTTAAATTGTTCTGTTTTGTATAGGCAAATGTTGAATTTTTTCCATTTGAACCCTGAACTAAAAGTCCATTTTTAAAGACACCCCTTCACTCTCAGCCCTCTTAATTGCACATCGAGCACTTGCCGCCTTGCCCTTCTGTCTCTCCGGCTTGGTTCCCCCAAATCTCTTCGGGGGCAGGTTGCAAGAAGAAGCCCCCAGAACTCAGTTGAGCATCTGCCTCGCCTGCAAAGCCTTTTCCTGTTCCTAGCAATCGAACTTTTCACCGGGAGAATCTGGGGCTGGAGCATCGGGTGCGGGGTGAGGAATTGGGGCACCTGCACCCATAGAAAAGTTAATTATCAGTGGGGAAGATTTAAGCCATGAAGGTAGTGGGGATGACTTGTCACAATTTCATTCTTCAGCTCCTAAGAAGTGTATTTTCTAGTTTTATTTCCCAAATATTAATGAGATTCAGCTTCACTAGCTTTTGCAACTTAACATTTTGTTTTCAGTTTATTTATTTAGTTCGTTCACATTTCTTGTTGGGTTTGTTATCTATTGAATCTGCTGTTAATCACTACAACCTGGATTTCCTAAATACAAACAAATGTTGCCTTAGAGATTTTTTTTTTTACCAGCTTCAAGACAATTATTCAAAATATTCCAAACTAAGTAGACATGCAACATTTTTTTCTTTCCATAAAACCTCTCATTGGGCTGTAAATATAATTGTGAATGTTTAGAAAAAAATAAATAGGGATTTTTGGTTCAAATCTCTTTCTGATTATCTGCCTGAGAGGCACCCATCTTGAAAGGCTGCTTATTGGGGCAGGAGGCATCAATGCTCTGGAATGCCCCTCCCCTAAAAATGGAGGAGTTCTTACAAGTTAGCAAGTTTCAAAGTTCTCTAGAAGCCCATCAAGAGATCACTGTTTATCACTGTTACCTTATGGTGTGAACTGTTACTTTTGTTTCTGGTTTGTTAGGATTGCATTGTATTATGATAGTAGGAGTTTGATTTCTTACCCACATATATGTTATTGTCCTCATCTTAATGTTCTTACTGCAGATATATGTTATTGTGATTTTATACGTAAGCCTCCATGAGACTTGATCATTTGAAATGCCGCTGCTGCTGCTCCTCCTACAATAATACTATCAAAGAGGGTGGCCAGAGGTCATCAGGAGGGTTCAGTTGTCCCCAGGGAACTGAATCATAGAGATGAACTGGCTATCATATAAGTAGGCCGAGGAAAGGGAAATTTTTCTTGAGAACAAGCCATGAGCAAGAAAAAACATAATTCCAGACATGCCCCAAACTCTGACTCAAATGAAAGACCAGAGAAAGCACTGGTTGAATTAGACCGAAAGAGAAATACAGCCTATTTTTAAGTAAATCGGAAACTCAGAAACAAAGACTATTTGTGCAACTGGCAAAATGGGGATGAGAAAGCAAGAGAAGAAAAGTGGAAGAAAGAAGAAGAAAGAGGAAAAGGTGTGATGGCTGAGAGGGTCTCCAGGGAAGAAAAGGAGGAGCCAGGTGCCAAGAGCAAAGGAGAAGAGAGGGCAGCAGAAGGCGAAAGGGAGATGGGAGTCATGCAAGCATCGTTGGGCAGACTCTAAGCACCTCCACAGAAGCCAGGAGAGCAGCAAGCTGGAGAAGGCAGGGCCTGTTTTCTCTGGAGGACTTCCAAAGTAGCGATGGACTCCTGGACCTGTTTGCCTCCCACCTCAAAGCCTTTGCAACACCCCCCCCCCAAAGTCAAGACAACCCTCATTGTATATGCAAGGTGAAACTGAACTGCCATGCCTCAATCTGGGATGGACGGCCAAAAAGTAGATTTAGCATTTGACCTCATTATCATTTTGGCAGCAAGATGCTACCAGCAATCTACTTTTAACATCTTTAACTTCAGAGCATGAGAGCCAGTTTGGTATAGTGGTTAAGGGCATTTAGGGTTAAGGACTTCTAGACCACCTTGGACACAAACCAGCTGAATGACCTTAGGCCAGTCACTCTCTCTCAACTCTAGGAAAGAGGCAATGGCAAACCACTTCTGAAATACCTTGCCCAAAAAGTTTTAGGGACTGTCCCAGGCAGTCTCTGAGAACTGGACATGATTGAATGGAAAGGGGAAAAAAGCTTCAGGGAGCTGTTGCCTTGGTGGCTAAGAAAAAGTTATAGCTGCTATAATGATGCTTGGAAAATCTGCCAAATGTGAAATTAAAGTAGGGGCATGGCATGCATATTACCCCAATGTGATTGATCATGAATGGCCATTGCTGATATTATTGTTTATACTATTGTCCTATTCTCCTTTATTGTTTCTATGTTGTTTGTTCCCCAGAGGCTCTTTGGATTGGAGTAGATTATAAATATTGTTAAATTAGACAGACAGACAGACAGACAGACAGATAGATAGGAATAGCTGTTCCTTTCAGTATCAAGTAAACTCACTGGGAGGGATACATTTGTCTTTCCCCCCAAAAGACAGAGGGCTGCCAAGAGCAAATTCATGGCTGAGGACAGATTTAAACTGGATGGATTTCAACGGACGTCACCTTTCCATTCATGAATAGGCACAAAACCTGGGAACTTCTGGAAAAATTGTGTCACTTTCAGAAAATTTACAAACTGAGCAAAGGACCTGTTTACTAAAACACGAAGTCAAACGGTGGCACATGGGGCATTGGTCTGCAATCTCACGTTAGCAAAAATTAGCTAGAAAGCTTGTTTTTGCCTTGTTCTGCAGTGCTCACAGATCAGAGGGCACGACTGAGTATTGGGCATAGATTGAGCCCTCCATTAATCAAGGCAGATGGTGGAGTGCCCAGCATTATTTTCACTCTCTGTGACTGGAAACATTTGTTGCCAGGATAAGGAAAGGAAATGCTCCTCTATCCCCATTTCTCTGCTCCTTGTCATGTGCATTCAGGGGTGATTCCAGGTGTTCACAGGACTCCCTCACAGGCCTTCCCACTCCAGGAGTGTTTAGTGGAGTCTGGAGGCAGGAAGGCAGGAAGACGTGCGTAGTCCTTTATTAGTAACCACAACTCGAACCATTAAGTGAAGGAGTTGCAAAGTATAACCATGACTGTACTTATTATCTTACTTCAACTTTACTTTGAAGAGGAGCAAAGGTTGTAAATGTTATGCTTGGTTGCAAACTTACTTTTTCATCACTATTGTAATTGTGAATGGTCACTAAATGAGGTGGTCACAAAATGAGGACTACTTGTATGAGAAAATGTTATAGAGTGAATTTTCCAGTCTTTCCCCTCACCCAGTTTTGTTACTAAAACAGCGAGGTGTTTTAGGAAGACAGAAATCTTGAAATGAACAAAATAATTAACCAGTTAGCTAACTACAGTAGAAGTAAAACAAAATGCCACGCTTGCCAACTTCATCCACTTTTGTTCTTCAGGAATCAAGAGGGGGGCCAGCCCTTGATTCAGATCTGATAATTGCAATAACCTGGTTGGTGGCTGCAAGGCAGGCTACAAAGGTTATTATTATTTATGCTTAAAACAACAATTTGAAGTCTACCAGAATGTCATTGACTTATTTATTTATTTATTTATTTTTAATATTTATATGCCGCCCAATCCCGAAGGACTCAGGGCGGCGTACAAAGTTAAAAAAACAGTCAAAAAACAATAAAATAATAAAATAATACAATCATACTGCGATCATACTGCGAGTCCGGTCATATCCCGGCCCCCCGGGGACATCAGCCCCAGGCCTGCCGGAACAGGAGGGTTTTAACAGCCTTCTGAAAGGCCGGCAGGGTGGGAGTAGTTCGAACCTCGGGGGGAAGTTGGTTCCACCAGGTCGGAGCCACCACGGAAAAGGCCCTTCCCCGAGGGCCCGCCAGCCAACATTGTCTGGCCGACGGGACCTGAAGGAGGCCCAATCTATGGGACCTCACCGGTCTCTGGGAGCTATGCGGCAGAATGCGGTCCTGTAAGTAACCTGGCCCTATGCCATGAAGGGCTTTAAAGGTGATAACCAACACCTTGAATTGCGTCCGAAGACCCACAGGAAGCCAGTGCAGCTCGCGGAGGATAGGTGACACGTGGGCGTACCTTGGCGTGCCCACAATCGCTCTCGCGGCTGCGTTCTGAACCAACTGCAGCCTCCGAACGCTCTTCAAGGGTAGCCCCATGTAGAGCGCGTTACAGTAATCCAGTCTTGAGGTGACAATGGCATGAGTGACTGTGAGTAAAGCCTCCCGGTCCAAATAAGGCCGCAACTGGTGCACTAGGCGAACCTGTGCAAAGGTCCCCCTGGCCACAGCCGATAGATGTTGTTCCAGATTTAGCTGTGAGTCCAGGAGGACACCCAAGTTGCGTGCCTGCACTGAGGGAGGTAAATTTGCCCCTCCCAGGACTAAAGATGGACCATCCAGTTGGCCTTTGGGAGGTAAGACCCAGAGCCACTCGGTCTTGTCAGGGTTGAGTCTAAGCCTGTTCACCCCCATCCAGACCCTCACATCTTCCAGGCACCGGCACATCACGTCGACTGCTTCACTGAAAGGACACGAGGTGGAGATATACAATTGGGTATCATCCGCATACTGATGATACCTCACCCTGTGTCGCCGAATGATCTCACCCAGCGGTTTCATGTAGATGTTAAAAAGGAGGGGGGACAGGACCGAGCCCTGAGGCACCCCATACTCGAGGCGCCTAGGGGTCGATCTCTGTCCGCCCGCCAACACCGACTGCGACCTGTCAGAGAGGTAGGAGGAGAACCACCGCAATACGGTGCCGCCCACCCCCACCTCTCCGAGACGACGCAGAAGGATACCATGGTCGATGGTATCGAAAGCCGCTGAGAGGTCAAGACGCACCAGGATAGAGGAATGACCCCTATCCCGGGCTCGCCAGAGGTCATCGGTCAGTGCGACCAAAGCGGTCTCAGTGCTGTAGCCGGGCCTGAAACCAGATTGAAAAGGGTCCAGGTAATTGGTTTCATCCAAGGATCGCAAGAGTTGAGATGCCACCACCTTCTCTACAACCTTCCCCACAAAGGGGAGGTTGGAGACGGGACGAAAGTTTTTCAAAACAGCTGGGTCCAGGGAAGGCTTCTTGAGGAGGGGCCTCACCACCGCTTCCTTTAAGGGTTGCGGGAAAGACCCCTCCATCAAGGAAGCATTAATTATCGCCTGGAGCCAGCCTCGTGTCACCTCCCTACTGGCCGAAACCAGCCAGGAGGGGCACGGGTCCAATAAACAGGTGGCGGCATTCATTGCCCTCACGGCCTTGTCCACTTCATCAGGGGTCACAGGCTCAAACTCGCTCCAGATAATATGACTAAGACCAGCCCCTGGCAACTCGGCTGGCACTGCCCAGTTAGAGTCCAGGTCCCTCTGAATCTGAGCGATTTTGTCCGAAAGAAACTGAGCAAACTCCTCAGCTCTCCCCTGCAAGGGTTCCTCTGCCTCCTCCACTTTAAGAAGGGAGCGGGTCACCCTAAACAAGGCGGCTGGGCGAGATTCTGCGGACGCAATAAGTGTGGAAAAGTGAACACGCTTTGCCGCTCTTATCGCCACTAAATAAGTCCTAAGATAGGCTCTTAATAGTGATCGGTCAGATTCAGAGTTACTGGCCCTCCAACGTCGCTCTAGACGTCTCTTGTGGCGCTTCATCTCCCGGAGCTCCTCAGTGAACCAAGGCGCCCTCCGGGGACCACCACCACAGAGAGGTCGCAAAGGCGCAATTCGATCCAGGGCCCCGGACGCCGCCTCATTCCAGGCCGCAACCAGGGACCCGGACGAGTTGTGGACAAGGGAGTCAGGTATTTCCCCAAGCTCCTCCTGGAACCGATCTGGGTCCATTAGGCGCCTGGGGCGGAACCACCTAGTCGGCTCCCTCTCCCTGCGATGGGGGAGTGATGCTCTGAAGTCCAGCCTCAATAGGAAATGATCTGTCCATGACAAGGGCGAGATCTCTATTCCCCTTAATTCCAGATCATGTCTCCATTGCCCCGAGAGAAACACAAGGTCGAGTGTGTGACCACCCCTATGGGTCGGATCCTGAATTACCTGGGTCAGGTCCATGGTTGCCATGGAAGCCATGAACTCCTGTGCCGCCTCTGAGTGATCGCCGAGTGATGGTAGGTTAAAGTCCCCCAGTACTATAAGTCTGGGGAACTCCACCGCCAACCCGGCTACTGACTCCAGCAACGCAGGCAGGGCTGTTGCAACGCAGCTGGGAGGTAGGTACGTCAGCAACAAGCCCAACTGAACCCGTGAACCCAACTTCAATAGGAGGGACTCACACCCAACAACCTCCGGGGCAGGAATCCCACGAGGACTCAAGGACTTCCGAGCGATGACTGCCACTCCCCCACCCCTGCCCTGATGTCGAGGCTGATGAAGCACCACAAACCCGTCCGGGCACATCTCCGAGAGGGAGACACCCCCCTCAGGGCCCAGCCAGGTTTCGGTTATACATGCCAGGTCCGCCCCGCCGTCCAATATTAAATCACGGACAAGGGGGGCTTTGCTGACAACGGACCTGGCATTAAGCAACAGCAGCCTACAATTAGGGCCCTGTACTCCCCTGTCACCAGTACTACAGGCTGAGCCTTTTGAGGGGCCGGAACAAGGAATCGCTCTAACATAGCGGGTCCTTGTTCCCCGAAGATGGCCTGCCCCTCGGCTCCCGCCATATCTGCCCATCCCAGTCATGACCGGGATGCTCCGACCTTCTCCCCTCCCCGGAGTACCCCCACCCTCACCAGCCTTCTCCCTTCCTGACCGGACTCGCTTTCCATACAAACCAAGCCCAAGGGTAAGTCCTGCCCCCCCCTACTTTTGCTATTGCACTCAGCAGAGGGGGTACCAGGCTCCACCCCCGACTCCACCATTCTCATACCCCAAACACTCAATACACACTCACACTCAATTAATATACATAAAAATAAAAGTATTCACATTCATACGCCCTAAATACAATAATAAAATTTACACATAACAGGGCCACCATTCATCTACATACATACTCACACCCATAACAAACAGACGTTCTCTAAAAATGGTATTGCCCCTCTGTGTCCCAGGCTAGTCCAGTGTGGCCGGCTAGGTGATCATTAGGTACTTGTTTTGGAGCAGACCGTACTTGGCCTTATGCTCCTCAAAGACCTAGGTCAACTTCTCCAAGTACCTCTCATGCAGCTCATCAATGGCTTCTCCGGACATCCAACAATTGTGTAAAGTCAACTCAGCCACGGCGGGACGGCTAGTCAAACTGGGGCTCATTAAAACAAAGTTGCTTTCAATTGCTGGGATCGCAGCCGGGAGTGGAGAAAATAACAACACCTCTGAGCATATACAGAGTAGATTTCTAAGCCACAAGCTCGCCTCTCCCACTTTTCACGATGTGGCATTCGATGACAGGCCCGAACTCCTGGAAGAGGACGCGCAGCTCGCCGCTGGTGCAGGTGGCCGAGACGTTGCCCACAAAGGTCTTAACGGTGTGGGTGGGCCTCGGGCGGGAGAACTCCACAACAGCCACGCGGTGGCAGTGCAAAAGGTGCCCATTAAGCTTCTGGATGGCGCACTCAACCGCCACCTCATCGTACAGTTGGATGAAAGCGAACTGCTTCATAAGGGCCCCCTTCACCACCATGCCTGGCACAGCCACCTCGAAGAGGTCGCGCAGCTCCACCCGCGGTGCCCCCCGGGCACGCCGTCCACGAACACCTCCACGCCTGGCTGCACCGGGTCCGCCCGTCCCGAGGAGGCCCGGAGAGAAGGAAAGAAGCCAGACGACACGGACCCACAAAATGGCGCCCGCGAAGAGACACGGCCCCCCCTCCGGCAACAGTCCTTCTGCCTCTTGTAACCTGGCGGGTAAGTTGGCTCCGAGGCTGCGGGGGAGAGGGCGGGGGAGAGGACGAGCAACACTGGCGGGTCCTCCACGACCGGCGGGGTCCGACGCTGGGCTGAATTATGCTGCTTTGCAGCAGCGGCAACGGCAGTAGCAAGAGCCACCGCCCCGGCTTAATGATGGTTTAATGGCGGTTGTTCTATTCCGACGCGGTTCTCCCGTCCTCAGCTCACAAGCTTCAAGATTTATTTCTGCCGTGGGAAAGCGCAGGCGAAGGATGCTACTTTGCATCATCCGAAGCCGGCCGCCGGCTGTCGAGAGTCCCCCGAGCCCGGCCCCTCGCCTCTCTGACTTGAGAGTTTTAGCATCAGTTGAGGCACCATGGCAGCCAGGAGTCCTGGCATTCAGTTTTCAGGTACCCAAGCCCCACTTGGCATTCCATCTGCTGTGTGAGCTGGAGATTCAGCCATTGTGCCTGAGGGTTTAGTTGTTCTTGTTGTTTAATGCTGCTCATCTTTTTTCAAATGTATAACTTAGTTGTACAGAATCCAGCAGTAGAATCAAACAGGCTAAGATTGTAGATAACCCTATTCCTCAAAGGCCGGCTCTACTAGCAAAATTCAAATGGCTTTCTGTCTACCCTGCTCTGCTAGAACTTGGTAATGATTGCACTTCAGCTTGCTCAGCAAACACTGCTAGCAGTAGAAGGTTCTTTTGACCAAGCATTCTAACACCCTTTGCATCCAACCTGCAGTCACATGCAACTTTGGTAAGGTTTGTTGGGAACACCTACTGGAAATCCAAGAAAACAGCAAAACATCACATTTTATGACAAATGGTCTATCTGTGTCTTAGAGTGCCAGAGAGGAATGACTGCCAGGTTCCAGGAACTGAGGTCAGAGTACAGGTTTTCTCAGCAGAAAAGATTCTCGGATGCCCCAGAGCAGCAGGAGGGACTGAAGGAACCGTACTTTCAACCCAAAGGTGCTTTTTAAAAGTCAACTGAATTTTCTTGTTTTTTTTCCTTGAAAATGTTTCGCTTCTCCTCCAAGAAGCTTCTTTAGTCCTGGATGAAAAGCGAAACATTTTCAAGGAAAAAAACCAAGAAAGTCCACTTGCTTTTGAAAAGGATCTTTGAGACAGCCATAACCTAGATGATTGAGATTCTCCATACTGTTGTCAACAGAAAGAACCTCCAGTTCTCAAATTCCAGTGGAGCACTCTTTCCCAAGATGACCCTTAAAGAGGGGCCATTCTCAAAGGGCAGATTTTCTGCAAGGGGTCAGAGAAAACATTCCAGGCACTTGTGCCTGCATCTCCCTCAGAAACAAGTTGGACTGATTATCTCTCCAGGACCAAGGAGGGATAAATGAGAGGAGGAGAAGCCTTAGCAGAAAAACTCCCGGAGGACACATCTTGATGTGTCTTGGGGCATTCTAGAGAAGAAAGACAGTTATTATGCATGTGTAATTAATTGTGAAAGTAAGAGAGTACATTTCACAACTAATTATATTTTAAACATTAACAGCTGATGGTGATAACAGCTAAACACCAGTCTACAGATTTCTACATTTAAAAAATTAGCAAGTACAGAAGAATGGAGAAGTTGGCCAAAAACTTGGGGGGAAAGTGGGGAGACCCTCTTGGCTGCAGATTTAAATCCAAGGCCAATGAGGCCTTTGGCTGCCCTTGATGAGAGGACGAGTCCAGCTATGGAGAGCAGCTTTTTCCCTTCAGGACACCGTTTCTGTTTCTCTGCACTTGGGAATCCTCCCAGGTATGCCTGTCCCCATTCCATGCCAGAAAGTGCCCACAGATGTGGAAGAGTTGCCCCTCTATGGGTGGACAGAAGCCTTTGTTGCAATGAGTGTGCTGGCCTTCTGGCCTTGGGCAGGTAAAAGAGGCTGTCAATCATGACACCCCAGCACACACAGGTGGGTCAACTGGCACTTGTGGAAGTCAATGTTGGGTCCTAGGGCAATGCTAGGCCAGTGGAGTCTGGCAAAAGGAGATCTCCAATTCAAACCGGAAGAAGAGATGTCTGAAGGGATGGGGGACAGATCCAGCAACCTGGGACTGCTGTTCTTTAGGTCCACCAGTTGGTGGGAACCCTATTTTCTCTGTCATTCCGCGCTGCAGTTCTCATGGGACTGACTTCCTCGATCAGCGACGCGGAGCCACGGAGCCTTCCGGACCAGTCCAGAGGAAAGCAAGGGCTTGTCCTTTTCTCCGGTCACCCTCCCGCGTTGGTCTGCAGCAGCTTCACCCTCGAGGAAACAGGAAGGCCCGGGCCATTTGCAAGCCTTCTTGGTGGGAGCTGAAATGCCCCAGAAGCACCGGCAAGGGCGGGGAGCAGACAGCTAGGATGGCAGACGTTGGCTCCGCCGCCCTCTGTTTTTATAGAGATGTGGGTGGTCATTCGGCCCGCCCAGTCAAAACAGCGCTGATCCAGACTCAAAATCCAGCCACTTTCATTTACTCACTCATTCATCTGCCTGCCCCTCCCTCTGCCACGTGCTTCTTGCGAGGGACTGCAGGGAATCCTTAAGAGTCAGCAAAAGACCCTTCTTCAGTTGCAAGCAGCAGCAGCAAATAGGCATGGCTCGGGATGACCCCCTTGCGAGGCCTGAAAACAATAATCTCCCTTGGACCCCATTCCTAACCAGAGACAGCCTCTGAAGTTTTTCCATGGCCGAGAACTATTAGTAGATTTAGCCTATACTACAATATACCTGAACTGTTTTTAACTTTGCCTCCAAACTGCAAATCTGAAAAAAGTGCAGCCTTCTCTTCCTCTATTGCATGAAAAACATTACAGCTTTACCCAAATATTAAGATCCAGACTGGCACACTTCTGGATGTTGTTTGAGATTGAAAAATATGAAACTTTGGGTTTTGCTGATTAAATAGGTTTGTTATAGAAATGGCTAGCATACATTAGTATATAAAAGTAAAATGTTATTATCTTATTCTACTGCACTAAAAAGCATCAGAAGTCAATGCTTTTTCTTTTCTCCTACTTGTTTTCCTCTTCCCTTTTCCTCCCCTATTTTCCCATTTTTTTCTTTTTCCTTTTCCTGTTACATCCTGATAAATTAATAAAAAATTGATTAAAAAACAGATTCAAGCTGGCTGAAAATCCAGTCTTAGATGGAAAAAACTTATTTTAAGAAGTATTGCTATAAAGACAGATAGGGATAGACTTTTTCCTTTTCCTTTGACTTTTTTTTTAATCTCTCTCTTGGGATGCTTTTCTCTTCCACTTTCTACTCCCTTGGCCTCGCCAAGACACTAGATTGCTTTGTGACTCCAAAGTGTGGCAGATCTTGACTGCTGCTGAATGTGTGGGAGCCTATGGAAACTTAAGATCAGGCCCAGGCCATCCTGTGCCCATAACAAAGCCCCTGTGTACTGGGACAGGTGCTTCCAGTCTAGAAAGAAAGCTTGCTTCCCCCATACAAGAGGCCACAAGCAGATGGGATGGAATTTGACAGAACAGAGCAGCCATTAGTGGAGGCCCTGGAAGGCAGATAAAGTCAGGCTGTTAATTTCCCAAGAGGATGGCCCTTGGGTGAGCAAAGCCAGGGAACAGAAAGGGCTGCTGGAGACTGGGCCCCTGGTTGATTCCTCTTGGGACTCAGCACTTCTGCTTGGCTGCACTGGGCAGCTGGCTGTGACTGAATGGGCTGAGTTTGCACAATACACAAAAACCCAAGACATCAGCTGTATTAATGAAAGAGCTGAGCCACAGGCAGGAAGGGAGGGTATGTTATAGATCCTCAGAATTTCACCCTGCTCCCCCAGCCTCCAAATCTTCAACATCTGAAGAGGTTTCAGTTATCCTAGATGAGAATTGCTTTGAAGATGTTAATTCCCATTTGCCTTATTTTAGTGTGTGTGATAAATTGCTGGATTTTCTGCTTCTTTGGCCTTCAAGGCTAGACCTGGACATGGACTGGCCACACATCCTGCTGACAGCAATTTGTATTCCCATCTCTGCCAAGGGCAAAGGAGTCATCATGAAAGCCGTGAAGAGTTTTATGCTTTTGGTTTAAGGGTACTGAGATTGTGCAGTTTTTCTAGCCTCTTCCAGCATCAAGATTTAATATCAAGAGCTTCAGAAAAGTAATATTGGGATGCTTTGAAAAGTTTCTATTAGGGTTCTTCATTCATCTCCATTGAGAAACTGGATGAAAAGTAACCCCCCCCAGCAACATTGTACCTGCAATCAGTTCATGTTCCCGTGAGCCCCATACTTTGATTATTAACCCTGGAATGCAATAGTTCATTTTATGTTCCTTCCCAAATCAGCTGCCTGATTCTCTGGTGACCCCTGGCTTTCACAAAAGTTAAAATAAGCCCAGAGGGGCCAATAGGCTGAGTCAAGCATCTTATTTCATTTTGTTTACTGTGCTTTATTTTGTGACACTTTGGAGCCTTCCATTTCTACCAGCTTCTGCCTGGAGTAGCCCTTTTCCCTCTGAGATTGAGCCTTCCTGCAGCTGCAGCCTGCAGTTGCTGTCCAGAGTGCTGAAATAACTTCCTCCTGGGTGAGGTTTTGTTTGTTTTTTAAACTATCTTTAGTGCAAATGGATAGCCTTATTTTTTCATTGTCTTGGCATTATTCTGTCATGAGGGATTGAGCAGTAAAAATGTAACATTCACATTTCATCATGACGGAAGCAAGTCAGAGGCTCTCCTATTTCCCCAAGGCAAATGGGAAGGAATTACAATAGCAGCAGAAGCAACAAAGTAGATATTACAAATGCTTGTAGCACAGCCTCCCCCCCTCAACTGAAGCCTCTATTGTTCTTCTGCCATCCTGAAGCAGAAATAGCTCCTGTTACCCCTCTCCCTTTGCTGCTGTGTCTTATGGTGTAGATGCCTCCCACTGTGGCTGTTGACTGAAGCGAAAATTCCCAGTAAACCAGGAAGTAACACAGAACAAGAATGATCTCAATTGGCTTCACAGTTAGTTATTTAAAAAAATTGATATTGTTGTTCAAGTCACTTTTAATGTCTCTGGGCAGCTTACAAAGATAAAACCCAATGTGAAAACAATAAAAAAGCAAAGTCACCTCCAGCCAAGATGGGTGGCACATAAATCCAATAAATAAATGTGAATAAATAACTCCCCCCTCCCAAAATGATCGGTGAAATAAGTCCACCTGATGGGCTTCATCCCACTCTGAGCTCCCCAGGCCTGTTGGAAAAACCAGGCCTTCTGGGTCATTCCGAAAGAGCATCAAAGTGGGGACCAGTCTAACCTCCAAGAGGATGATGTTCCATAGGGAGGAAGGCCCTACTTCTTGATCCCACTCAATGGACCTCCTTCGGGGAGGGGCCCCATAGCATTCCCTTCCTCCCCGCTCTGGTGGGTCAGGTAGATGTGACTAGCAAAGGACAGTCCCTTGGATCACCTGGTCCCAAGTCACGTAGAGCTTTAAAGGTGACAACCAGCACCTTGAATTGGCCCCAGAAGCAAATGGGCAGGCAAGGCAGCTCCCACTGGAGAGGTGACACATGTACCCATCTAGCCTGCACAAAACCACTGTTGGACCAATTGAAGCTTCTGTATACTTTTCAAGAACAGCTCCATGAAGAGAATGTTGCAATAGTCAAAACAGGAGGTGACTAGGGTGTGAGTGACCTTGAGCAGGGACTGTTGGTCCAGGAAAAAGATGCAAGTGGTGCACAAGCAAGGAAGCATTAATCACTGCTAGAACCCACCTGCATGTCACCTCCCAGGAAACTTTCACAAGCCAGAAGGGGCATGGATCTAAAACACAGTTGCTTGTGTTCATGCTCCCTAGGATCCTGTCCTAGAGAGCAACAGAGTCAACCCATTCCCAGATAACTGGGCAGGAACCGGCCCCAGGTGCCTCCACCAGCCCAGCAACCACATTGGCAACTAACTGGTGATGAATCTGGGTGATTTTGTCTTCTAAAAAATGAGCAGATCTCTCAGCATGCTCCTTCAGGCAGACCTCTGCATCCTCCTTCCCCAGGAGTAGACAGCTCACTTTAAAGAGGGTCACTGGTTGATTATCTACAGATGCAATTAGTGCAGGGAAGTACTTATGCTTCGATGCCCAAATCAACACCCTTTAATAGCAACTCTTGCCTGTACTTGATGGAGTTTGTCCCTAGCCAAGGGCAAATGAGAATGGATTGCTTTAAAGGAAGCCCTGTGCCTGCTGAAAGGCTCGGCAAGCCTCTGGAGGGTCTATCCTGCAAAACTGTGTTGCTCCATACTTCTGAAACTTCTATAAGCATGTGGCCTCAGGACATCCTCCTACGGTACCAAGTTGACCAGATGGAAGAATCCACAGCTGAAGTATGTATATCAGGCAAGTTACCATCATCAGAGAAAAATCTATCGACAGAATGGGTTTAACTCTCCAGAAAAAGCAGGAGATTATAGCAAGTTTGCTCCTGATCAAACTGCATTCGTTTTTTTTTTTTTTTGAGGGGGGGGGGGCAGAGAGAGATGTCATTCTCTTAGACGTCCTGTCTTTATTTATAGGCCAACAGCACCCCCTTGTGGCCTACAGTTCCTTTTGTGGACAAGCCACTTCCTGCCATCACTAGAATTGTCTTGCTCTTCTGAGCCATTTGCTGGGTAAATAAAGCTTCTTTAGAAAGACCAGCTTCAGCAATTGCACTGCCCCATTTTCCACTTACAAGGGGGGGAAAAGGCAGCAAGAAAAGAAATCAACCATATCATTGACAATGAGTACTTTATTTTTTAAAAAAGTATGACATGGAGCCCTGTAACTCTCTTACATCAAGGCAGACATCTTTCAAAATACACTAAAAATAGCGCAATATGTAAAATGACTTCGGGCACATTGCTTTCATCTGTGCCTTTTTCTCAGGAACCTGCATAACTTCCAACTGGCCTGATCTGCTTCCAATTCTAGTTAGCTGGGGGGGGGGGATCCAGCTGCTCTTTATAAAGCTGCATGGGAGAATTTCTTCTTCATCACCAGCTTCTGAAGCAGGACAGCGGCTCATTTCTGCATCACCTCTAGTAGACCAAGCAAGTGTTACCACGAGGGTGCAAACACTTGTTTCTCCTCCTTAGGCAAAATGCTGATTTTCCTATTATTGTTAGGGCCAAGGACTGAATCTGATCAGGTAACGAAGCATTGCACAAAAACCCTTATGGACAACTCCACCACATGGACCCAATTCACAATTCCTGCAGAACACACAATTTTTCCATCCATGATGTTGGAAGGATCCCTGGTTTAAAAGAGGACAGGGCTATAATCACGGGGATCTGGTGGGCAGCTATGGGCTTCAACCAACCAATATCTATTCTCATTGGACAGCTATTCCCAATTAATTTCAGGTCCTCTTCAAGTTGGATCTAAGTATGAGAAAGGATGGCTGGCCCAGGAAAGATTCTGAACCAGGCCTTTCCTGACTGCCTGAGATACAGGAAGATAATCCTTAAACAGCTACTCCTGCCAGGATGTGCTGCATTTTTTTGGCAGCGTTACCCCAGAAGAAATTTCATTATCTTCAAAAACAAAGAATACATAGCAGGAAGTCTCACTATTCAAAAGAAATAGAATAAGATCCAGGCAGCAAAAAGTGAGAAGAAGAATTCAAGGATATTTAGGCATATGCTTCTCGCTGCAATTTTGAACTATGCAGACCTCACTTAAAGAAATGATTCTATGTCCTGGTACACAACACCCATATATAGGCAATAGAATTCCATTGGAAATTGCCTCCAGAACAGGAAGACTTGGGAATTTTTTATTGGCTGTTAGTCACCAACTGTGAAATGATGTTTAAATAAGGAGGATTATTGTCACCAGAGTAAAGGTCAAAGTAAGAGCGGGAGAGCCTGATCTACTTTCCATTTCACAATTGTTTTTCAGAATGAACATCTAAGATCCTGCATTGTCTCATCTCAAGGGGGACTAGGAAAAGAAATGAAGGGAATGAGTTAAGAAAAAGAAAGACTCCATTATCTAAATAAATTAATTGGTGAAAGAAGGAAACCATTGGGAGAATGGTAAGGTCACTCTAAGAGGAGAAAGGTGTGTAAAGAGCAGCAGTCTGGAAATGGATCTTGTGGTCAGATAACCTGATGAGAGCCACTTTGGTGGAGTAAGTAACATGCAAACAAAGTAAATAAAATAAATGAGCAGGAAACGGTAGGAAGCAAGACTTCAAAGGTTGGTTTTTTCCTCTTCCTCCAGTGGGCTGATAAAACCCTCGGGAAAAAGCTCCTCCTGCTTGTCTTCCTTCAGTTTGGCTTCCAGAGAAGTGAGGCGCTGCTTGAGCTTCATCTGAGTGGCATCATATTCAGCCAAGAGTCGGGAGAATCGAGTGTTCAGCGTCTCCAGGCTGGTCTCCAATCTGTCCAGCTTCTGGCCCACATCCACCACTTCCATGCTTTCTGCCGCTGCCGCTTCATCCAACAACCCCTCGTTGGTGAGGATCTCTCGGCCACGCTCCTCCAGGAGCCTCTTGGCATCTGGGTACTCGGTCACAGCCTCCATGAGGTCATCTTTGGACAGGCAGAAGAGGTCAGAGTAACCAATGCTCCTAATATTTGCCGTTCGCCTGTTCCCCATTTTGCTTCCTTTGATGTTGAGAATGCTGATTTCTCCAAAACAGCACCCTGCTGTAAGTAAGGCGTACTGAGTAATACCATCATCTGCTACCACAGCCAACTTTCCTTCCTTAATGATATACATTTCTTTACCAATATCTCCTTTCCGGCAAATATAATCACCTGGACTGAAAACCTGAGGGCGAAGCTTGAGCACCAATTCCACCAAAAGTCCAGCCTCGCAGTCCTGGAATATCCGCACTTTCTTCAGTGTCTCAAGGTGGACATTGATAGCTATTTCAGCCCTCAGTTTGTCAGGAAGATTTTTGAGCACTTCCCACTCATCCACAGTTTTCTTGTTGGTCCAAAGGTAGTCAAACCACCTGATCACCTTAGCTTCCATTTCTTTGCTTACTTTGCGGAAATGCATATAGTGCTTGACAGCATCAATCTTGGCCTGGAATTCTGCCCTGGTGGCATTCATGTTGGAGATCATGGACCCCACATTTCCCACAATAGTAGCAAAGATGAGAACTCCAATTAGGAAGTCAAAGATGACAAAGAGGTATTCCTCATCACGCACAGGGGGAGGAGTCTCACCAATGGTAGTCAAGGTTAGTGTGGACCAGTAGAGACAATAGACATACTCCCTTGTCAAATATCCATACTCTGGATCTGAGATATTTGGATAAACCCAGGTGTCTTCTCCAAAGCCAATGGCCTTGGAGATGGCATAGTAAATGCATGCATTCCAGTGGATGATGACCAAAATGTACATCACCAGATTGCAGATCCTAAAGATGTTTGGGTAACTGGTTCTTGTTTCAGTCCGATCAAAGAATTCAAACATGCGAGGAAAATGGAGTAGCCGATTGAAGCGTAACTCAGGCCGATGGATGCCAACCACAAAATATGCCAAGTCAGTAGGCAGAATGGACAGGATATCCAGCTTAAACTGCAAAGTGGCAATGTATTTAGCACGCAGTTTCTTGAAGTCTTTGACGAGTAATCCCTGCTCAAGAAAACCTACCAGGAAAAACACAAAGACCAATTCAAATACGTACTAGGTACACTTCATTCTGTGCTTCTGTTCCTTACAGCCAGGGTCCACAGTCTGCCTGTGATCAGTGAAAGAGCTACTCTGGATCACACATTTTCTATTCTCACAGTAATGAAGGGTGGGGAGACAAGATATTGAAAGCTACAAGTTCCCAAGTTTAATTCAGCAGGCTAGCAGGGCAGAGTCATTTCTATGGTGGCCGCTACTGCCTAGTTTGGTCATTGTTGGTAATAATGCTTGATAACTCTTTCACTGTTTTTTTCCCCCCCAGAACTCCAGGCAAGGAGATCCACTTTCTCGGGATCATTCTCTGCCTGTTGGAGAGACAGACATCTTTCCCTCAGCTACAGAAAGAGCGCAAACCCTTCCCAATCCAGATCCCACCTATTCTACTTCACCTGTGTTCATCCGGATGACAATGTCCACGATGTAAATGGTGTCTGCCAGGTAGTCCAGGAGCAGCCAACAGAGCAAGTACCTTCTCTGGAGCTCATTGAAACAGGCTCTGCAAAGAGACCAGAACTGAGGTGCTGCTCAGGAAGCCCTTGAAAAGCCCATGACAAGCAGAGACCATGGGGCCACCGGGCAGGGCTAGCCAAAGAAAAGACAGGCAAATGCTCGCCATAGGGTGGACCTTCTTCAAGGTGTATTTTGTGTGCCTTCATTAAAAGCTGAAAATAGAGCCAGTTAGTCTAATGGTGAAGGCATCAGGCTAGAAACCAGGAAACTGGGGGTTTTAGTCCCTCCATAGCTGTGACAGCCAGCTGGGTGACTTTGGACCAGTCCCTCTCAGTCCACAACATCAGGTTCTGGCTACAGGCTGGCCAATCAATTTCTGTCATGATCAAATGGATCAATATTCAGTTGATCTGAAAAAAATGCGTCCTGCACTTGAAGGAAAACTGCTAGGAAGGAAAAAAAAAAGTTAAAGGCTGGAAATCAATTTATTAAGAGTGGATCCATAATGGTGGGACTGAGCATTTGGATGTTCTGTGCAGGGAACTGGCTGACCCTCCCTTGCATTGAACCAACAGAGCTTTCTTGATTTTGGGGGGGGAGGGGTGGTCCCCCAGGAGAGGAAAGACAACCAGCACAATTTCCAGGGACAGATTTTGGGCCTTCATGCATCAGAAGATGACAGCTGTCCTCCAGCAAAACATTCCTTCTGATGACTGACATGTCTGAAAGTAGCTCTGTCCCTACATTCTCTTCCTCTGCAGCCAGTGGAAGAGGGACACCATGGCAGGTAAGAAAGGAGACGACCGGAGTGTACCAGCTCAGATCTCCAATGGTGGATGATCACATTTGGGGCAAAATAATGCTTGGGAAAGGGCGTACTTAGGAATCTTTTCTTCCACTCTGCAGTTGCTGGAGCCTGCTTGATTGCTCAGCTGATAGGCCCTGCGGGAGCGAAACACACAGGGGGAAAGGCCCAAACAACCACATACCCCACTCACCTGGCAACCAGCATGCACCAATTGTACAGAACTGGTACTGCAATAACCAGGAGCCAGCGGTAGTACCACTTCCCAGCAGGGTCCATCACAAGGACTTTCCATTTCTTTCTGGAAACACAGTCAAAACCTTCTTTTAAAGGAGCTGAGCTGCACTGGGAGGGCAGGGGTGATGAGAGGAAAAACCCAGTTCCAGTTTAGATGGGGCCCCCAGGGTGGGAGGGCCGAAGCACAGCCACTGCCATACTTCTGTTCAGCATCCACTGCCTTGGCTTCAGTGAAGCACATCCTTGGTTAGCCCAGGGGAAAAAAGAGACAGTGCCAGTCTCTGGCTGAAAGGTCTACCTCCTGGACAGATACTGAGAGGACTCTGGGGCTGATTATGACTCACTGCCCTACCATCTGTCTTCGGTATGTCTAGTTTAATGAAAAGAAGGACCAGGGGTGACATGATAGCAGTGCTCCACTATCTAAGGGGCTGCCACAAAGAAGGGGGGGGGTCAACCTATTCTCCAAAGTATCTGAAGGCAGGACAAGAAGCAATAGATGAAAAACAATCAAGGAGAGAAACAACTTGTAATTAAGAAGAAACTTCCTAACAGTTAAGAACAATTATCCAGTGGAACGACTTGCCTCCAGACGTTGTGGGTGCTCTAACACCGGAGGTTTTCATGAAGAGACTGGACAGCCATTTGTCTGAAATGGCAGAGGGTTTTTTGCTTGAGCAGGGGGTTAGATTGGAAGACCTCCAGGGTGCCTTCCAACTCTGCTATTCTGTATTCTGCTTCTGTGGCATTTCAAGGCCTCCCCGGCTGCCCAGAGAAAGGAGCCCTGAGCATGCCATCCAGAATAAAGTCAGTGCCCTGACAAAACCTGGCAGCCGGCGCCTGCTGGGCGGTGTGTAAGGAGAGGAGTTGGTAGGTGGCAGCTGCTCTGTGAGATGAGGGACTGAGCAGAGCTGGAGATGCTGACTGCTAGGACTGGCCCCAAGAGATATTTTGCCAAATGCCAAAAGGTTAGCTCAAATTTTCCGTTATCCGTATAAGAGGTCCAGGCAACATTCCTCAAGTGCATTCAGTGCAACATAGCCATTCCCTTACCAGGGGGACCAAGGGTGTCCAAGTAGCCATCTTCACTGTAGTAGATGGGCTCCACTCTCTCCTTCTCTTGTGTTCCTCTCATTTTTCTCAGGTGCTCCCCTCCCCTCCATAGAATGCCCAGCAGCTGTTTTCTGGCATTAACAACCGGGCTCCTCTGCTGCCATCCCCGATCCAAGGTCAAGGCAGCCCTCTTTCTTGAGACACCCCTTAGAAAGGAACTCCCTCATTCCCCACTGCCACCCCGGAAGAGAGAGACTTCCCCCTCTCACCAGGGAGTTAGGCAGACTCACTTCTTCTTCCCCTGGCCTGCAAGGCCATCTCCACCTGCTGTTGCCAACTCTGATGCTAAAGCCTTCACATCTGGTCCTCGAAAGCGCTCCAGGAAGGAGTCCGGTCTCTCCTCGTCTTTCATGCCTTTCTTTGCCCATCCTCGGACAGCCATCACCAGCCGAGCTATCCTAGCGAGGGGTGGGGTAGGGGAAGGGAGGAAGGTTGGTTGGTTAATTTCTTGATTTGGAGTTGAAGATGTGGCACAGAAAGCTTCAGAGAAACAAATGGGCCATTGTTTGTTTCTCCTGCCTGGTTAGGACTGGAGAAGGAAAGCAGTAAAGTCCAAACAGAATACTTCCTGACCTTTATAGTCCCCAAAATGTTGTTACTCCTCCTGCTGAAACATCATCACATCCTCATATATTGAACCCAGGAACCATGATTGCATCAGTCTTATTAGGCAAACTACAGAATTACTCTTAAAGTGATTGCAGCCCAAAGTTTCCAACAAAGCCACGTGAAGCCCACCTGGAAAGGGCCCCTTTTTTGGGGTGGTCTGCATCCTCCAAGACAGCCACACGTCGCAGTTCCGAGGAGGCATCATCATCATCAACGGAGGGAAGCCTGTAGAGAGACCAAACAGCAAGTGGTCCTCCTTGGCTTATGAAGCTAAGCAACTGGCCACCATTGCCCACCACACTCAGCAAGACCACTCCTCTCTTTCGGTAACTCACCAAACCCTGAGCTACTGTCTCAGAGGCATCTGACTGGAAAACCTCAAGAGCTTCTGCCTTTCCCGGACCCATCAATGTGGGCCCAGCAGAGAAATGAAGTCTATTTCCCACACAGATTAGTGGGAATCCATAGGGTTGTACCTTACAAACCAAATTTCTGGGACCCAGTGATCTCTTTATTGGCCAAACCAGGTCCTGTTTCTATCAGCCTCACTTTGATGAGGCAAGAGAAGACTTCAGTTCAAGGGGAGGAGAGACCAGGAAAAGATGCAGGCTCTTTCTGATGAAATGCCATATCATGGGTCACAGGAGTTTCCTTGGCATCAGGGCAGCTTCTCCAACCTGAGTTCCCTCTACATAGTAGATCCCCTTTTCCTAACAGTAGAAGACTGTTAGTAAATTCCATCTGAATAACAGAAGCAACATCAAAGCCTTGAACTGCACACTTTTTATATGTGGCTGCAACAAGAAACGTGCACAAAAGGAGCAGGGTTTGCAGCACACCACAGCACTCCATATCCCCCCCCAACACACGCGCAAAATGGACACTGTGCATTCAAATGTGCAAAATGACATTGTCTTAATGTAACCAGATGCCCATCTGGCAAATGGAGGGTCTTGCAGCCTTTCCAAAGCCCTGAGTTACCTGCTATCATGGTTGCTGAGCTTGGTCTGCTCCAGATCACCTTTGCTTTTTACAGAGGCCATTCGCTGGTGGTTGGCACCATTGTTCTTTGCCATCATCCTCCATGTGTGGAAGCCACCAACTTTATTCTGCTCCAGAAAACAGGGAAAATAAAGAAGCCTGGCTGGACATGCAAGAACCTGATAGAGGTTTGCTTCTGGGTTGGGTGCTTCACTATGGCTTTATCCAAAGATGACTTTGTTGTACGTGAGAGGGGGCATATTGTTGGTAATCTGGAGGAACTTGTATCTTAAGCAATTTCCCTGAGATCCACTGAAATATGGCAACTTTGCTTGGCAGAGGAGTGGCTTATCAGCTCAGGCAAGTCCATCTTGCCAAGGCTGCTGTTCGACTTTCCTTTAGCAAAGTCACTGCATTGGGGCTTTCAAAAATGCATTTTCTCATGTTGGATGGAGGATCGTTTGAAACACCTCAGAGTAGGTTGCCTTTCCTCCTGTCAGCCTGGCCACTTTTCTGAGGTGTCTCTATTGAAGTCCTGTCCCCACGTATCTCAAGGGAACCACCAGCCTGCCCTTTTCCTCCTGGCATCGTTTGCTTTCTGCCCAGGACCAGGAGAAGGAATCAGTTCTGGTCCTAGGAAAAGGAGGGTTGTGTGCAAATTTCCACACCCCCAGGAGCCCTGCAGCCAATAGCTGGGAGCTGGCTTAATAAGTTACAGCCCCGTAAATTCAGAGAGCTCTGGCAAGGAAAGATGTAGGAAAAGAATGGTGGATTGGGTGCTAACCATGTGGCAGGTGCAGACCTGAAATTCCCTGTTCCTTCAATTCATCTGCCAAAACCCTACAAACACCCTGTAGTAACACATCTCCACAGATACAATTTACAGGAGTGACAAAAACTAAATCATCTAAATCAGGGGTTCCCAGCCCCCAGTCCATGGACCAGTACTGGGCTGCGGCATGCCAGCAACCAGTCCACACAAACAAGTAAAGCCCCATCCGTGGGATGCAGGCAGCACACAAAACCATGCACCCTCCTGTGTGCGGAAAAACCTCTCTCCACAGAACCGGTCCCTGGTGCCCAAAAGGTTGGGGACCTCTGATCTAAATGGTTACATGTTAATAAACAAATTGGACAATTGCAGTTGGCAAAGCAAAACGCCCCATATTCACATTCAAAAATGTGTTTGAATTTAACTGATGTAGCTGGTGAGAGACTTTCCTCCCATCCTCCTTTCCTTCTCTGCTGCTGCACCCCCCTGGCCTCCCTTTGCTCTAACTCCCGTTTCCCCACGTTGTTGTTCAAGGCTTCTCCCAAAGGCTTTCATCTTTGCTATCAGAACCATGACAACCTCATCAGCATCAAGCTCCTGCCTAACAACAAGTGTGAGAGGCTTCCGTGGCCTGTCCTCAGCAGACTCAGCAGGCCAACATGGGAGGAACCAGCCTGGAGAGGCAGCCCCCAAGCCCCCAACCTTCCAGCTTCACAGGAGGAGCATCACCTGACTCTGCTAGAGGAACAGCTCACTAGCCAAAAGGCACCACTTGTGGTTTGTTGAGGTCAGCTTCCAACTGACCTCAACAAACCAGTTGCAGGAAGCAGCTGCCACAGTCTATTAGGTGGACATTTTGTCCCTAACTTGGGTTGTTTGTTTTGCAATTGCTTTCAGCAAATTTAGCCGTAGTCATAATAAAAGCAAAAGTAGTAGCAGTACTTGTATCTAGAGTGGGAGAGAAAAGAACTATCAATAAAATAATCATGAATCAAAGCAATAATACTCAAGGACTTGACGTATTCTTGCACTGCAGAGCTGAGTCGGGGAGATCCACCCCCCAACTATGAGCAAAAGCCACACCCCTGACTGAACTAGGTCACCTAAAAAAGGGGAAACAGGTACCTCTACTGTATCACCTCACCTCATTGAAGATGGGCTTCCAAGCTCTTCTTTACAGCTTTTCAAAACCTCCCCACCTGAAACTCCGACTGCTTCCCTCTGTTTGGACAAGTAGCTCAGAAGAAGTGCCAAGCGTGGTAGGATATTCAGAAGTTAATTATCTTGGCTTCTTCTCCTTTTTTTTTTTTTTTTTTTAGTAATTACCCTGGCTGATCATCTGCAAGAACACACGGACACTTCTCCCTTCCTGCCCTCTGAATTCAGACGCCTGGGGCGGGGGGGGGGTGAGAGGGAGTCAAAGAAGGGTACACAAGCCAGGCAGCCCCGAGGCTTAGCAGCAAGCAAGCAAACTGGTTAAAAGGAGAAGGCAGCTTAGCTGCACTGATTTTGCTGTGCCAGGGAAAGAGCTGCCTGGCTGTGTTTAACAGACAGTTGCTGTCATTCCGGAGCAGTTTAAAAAGTCAGTTGAAGAAAATGAAAGAGACCGTTGGAACAAGAGGAGAGAAGTGGGATCTCAGAACTATTCCCAGGGCAACTTATTATTGACCGTAGTTCTTTTAATTGACCAGTGCTTTATTTCTAAATTCTCTGACATCCATTATCTCTGCCACACTTGAGACTGGGCAACCAAAGCAGCCTTCCCCCTCCGCTGCCATCCTGCACGTTTGCATACATGTCAGTGTTTGTTCCTGTTCAATGGCAAAGCATTTCCAAAGTGGCCTCAGTTTAGCCTTTCAATAACTGCAAGTGTGAAATAAGAGTTTTCTTTGCCAGAGAAAGAAGCTGCAGGAAGGCTATTGGCCACTATCCTCAGCACCATGTAAGTTTCTTCCCCCAGGCCCCCAAAACCTAACCCTTCCTCCAGCTAAGTAGGCTTAGCCAGCCCTTCCCCTGCTACTCACTAGTCAGGTGCGGCCGTGTCAGAAGCAGGTCACTGCATTGGAGATGGGCAGGCCTGGAGGAGCAGCAGCTGCTGCTTCCAAGTGATCCTGCAGTCTATGCTGAGCACCCTCTCTCTGGGCCTCAGTTGGGCAGCTGACTTGCTGCTTCAAAGGGTTGCCAGGTGTTCCAAAGAACGAGGAGGTCCTTGTAGGCTGGGACGGTGCTCGGTGACCCACTCATGCAGCCTGAGAGAAAAGAAGAGCCAGAGAAAGACCCAGGCGTTGCCTACCCTCTTTTTGTAGGAATTTCACCCCTGCTGCCAATGCTGAACCAAGATGCACTTCAACCCCTCTCCTGCCACTGGCTTGGAAGGACCACCTGCTGCTCAACGGTACCTGCTGCCGAGCCCTTCCTCTGGCTCACTAAGTGTGGGAGCTGAGCCCAAAGGAGCTCGCCTTTTCTACTACTTTCTGCTGCTCAGGGACTCGGCTGCTTGCCAAGGTTACCTCCAGCACCAACACGGATCGCTTTGAGCTAGCAGGTTTGCTGCTTTTTTCTTTAGGGAGCCAGCGGGCAAGAAAGTCAAAACATGTTGGAAACATCAATGGATGTCAATCAAATTTTCTCAGATGCAAACTCAACAGGCCAACTGCGTCTTCATCTCTCCCACCTGTTTGCCTGGCTGCAGGCAGTAAAACAGCCTTCCCACCACCTGACAAACAATCCCCTCTCAAACTGGAGAGATGCCAAGGCTGAACTTGAAACCTTCTGCCTACAAAAGATACTCTCTAAGCAGGGAGCAAATGCAGAATCTGTGCTATTAACCACTGGCAGCACTCACAATCAAATAAGGCCACTGCTTTGCAAAACCATTCTTCTTCCAAATTAGAAATGTGACTTGGGAGTCCTAGGAAGGGAAATTTTGGGAGGAATGTGACTTTCCAGCTTGAAAATCGGAAGATCTGAAAGAAAAATGGCAGCAGGCAAGGCTCCCGAGGCAGCAGCTGGCACACCATCAACCAACATCCTCTGACATATACTCCTTAGTGCACCTAGAATGCAAAACACACTTAGCAAAGACACAACAATTCTTTCCCTGGAGAAGGGGGTGGTAGGAAGTGAGTGGCAGAGGAAAGGGCGGGACAACAACCACAAGGTTTCTCCAGGAAGAATGCAACAAGCAACAACCAGGCACATTCAGATATTCTGGTTTACCGTTCCTTTCTCCCCCTGTGGGATGGCACAAAATTACACTCCACGATTTGTTCAGCTTGCAAAGCAGGTCTCTGCTCTGTCTTGGAAGCAAGGCTGGAAAGGACATCACTTTAATCGCTTGCTGGGTGGGAAGCTAAGGTGCAGCAGTGGGAAGACCACCTCCCAGCCACTCCCCGTAACAACTGGCTGGAAGTGGAGAGAGCTGACAGAGCTGGCAAAACTAGTGCAAGCCCTGCTCCAGGGATCTTGGGCCGATCTTCTTGTCCCGCCTTGACATGCAAGTCCCATCCATGCTGCTACAGCACCCTGTAGAGCTTTCCACAGGAGGGAGCCCCATCTGTGGGTTGGGCAGGAAATTGTGTTACAAGACCCAGGCCTTCAGCCCTCCTAGTGAGGTTGGTATGATTGCTCTTCTGCTATCACAAATGTCTAGCAGCACAAACAAAATGACTGCAGAGGAGGCTGGTGGCAACCAGAGAAGAGTTACGCAATGCTGGAAGCAGCCAAAAGTTGCTAACAGAGCCAGGCCAGATCATTGGCCCTTCCATGATTGCTATCAATGCCATAGAAGTGCAACAGTAAAACAGAAAAAGAAAAAAAGACACAAAGAAGTAGTTTATAATCTTCTTTTACAGCAGTTATAAGAACAATTAGAAATTTTATTCTATGGTTACAACATATCTTCTTTCTATAATATATCCGATTTAATCATCCAGGTTTCCAGTCAGTAAAAACATAGATATTGTTTTTTCTCTGATCAAAAAAGTCAATTTAGTCATCGCAGCAAATTCTGTTATCTTCACCAGCCATTCTTCTGTGATGGACAGTGCTGAATCTTTCCATTTTTGCGCATACAATAATCTTGCTGCAGCTATCATGAACAAAAAGTTCCAAAATTATATACAAATTAAACACTGAAACCATGCTGCAGCCCCACCAGGTAGAGTAGATCCAGAAATCAGCTCCACAGGAAGACGAAAACTATTTTTTATGGAGAGTGGCTATAAGCACAGTCTTCCTCGGCCTTCTTATGTTCCTGTAGCTCAGGGAGATTTCTGTCTGAGCCCCTTCCATGTATTTTCAGTCTGCTATGGAATTCCCAGCCTCGGTAATGCAGTCTGCATATCTCCGTCAAGATGATCTTCACTACTTTCTACTAGCTCCACAAGAACCAACAATGGGGAGAATGTGAAAAAAGGCCAGCAGAGCCATCTAAAAACCAGAATTCCAATGTTATCATGCTCTTAAGTGCACAGCACCTCCCTGCTATCATCTCTGAATGGAGAAGAGTGGAAAAGAGGGCAACCCAATGCCATCTCCTCCACTACCCCACCCCCCACCCCCTAGGAAAGACTATGAAAAGTAGGAGAGAAGACATTTTCTCCCTCTACAACCCAAGAGGGGCCTTACAGGGAATAACAATAGTAATAAAGATAAAACCTGGCAATGGCTTACAACAGGAACGTTAAGAAAAAAAGAAACCAAAGGCTGGAAGGGCAGCCTTTCCTCTCCCTTCCTACCCTTCTGGCCACGAGAGACCAGGAGCACTCAGTGCCCCTCTCCCAACGGCTGGTCGCAAGTCTTACAGCTACATGCATCATCTTCCTTTTGTGGCTGTTGTGGGCAAGTCCTCTCCTGAGCCAGAGCCACATGTTAAAGAGCCAGGCGGAGGCCAACATGGAGTAAACGAACAGCTCCTTCTGGCGCTTAGTCCCATTTTGCTCTTCCAGTGCACAAAGTTGCCCAGAAAGGTCAGACAGCTGCATTTCAAACAGGAGACAGGAAGAGGAGAAATTGACCTGGCCATTGCTGTGCACCTCAAGCCGAGGGAACAAGGCTCTCGCAGCATCTCAGTGCTTCACAAGGGAAAATCCATTTTGGTGGTCCTCTCCCTTATCTGCTCCATCATTGCCCTACTCTCCAGGATGCCAGACTCCTCCAGGGATGTATTGGAGACCAAGTTCACCTCCCAGGGACAAAAGGGAGGAGGTGAAAACACATCATTTGCTGCGTGCAGGAGGGAGAGCAGGCTAGTCCAAACTGAAAAAGCTGGCAGGTGAGGAGCACAACAGGGTCATAAATGGTGAGAGGAACAGGCCAGAGAAAGAGGTCCTGGCAAGTCTGGTCAACCTTGGGGATATGGCTGTACCTCCTGGAAAACATGACCCACTTCTCAGTGCGCAACATGCAGAGTTCCACAGGGTAGTTGGGCATACCTAATTTGGACCCTCCTGGGCCCCCACAGCAGCTGGAATAGTTGGCCCAGGAAGCGCAGCACTTGAAGGACGTTCCTGGAGGAGTAGATCCTGCTCTCCCCAAAGGAAGCCGGGGACCTGGGGCATAGGGGCAGAAGGCCTGACTCCAGCCTGCATGGGGCAAGGAGACAGAGGAAGAGCTGGAAGCTGAGCAAGTGCCTGCTGGTCCAGGGGGAAGACAGGCAGTCCTTCCCACAAGCTCAGCCATGAAGAAAAGAGGCTTTCTCAAAGAAATGGGAGGATTTGCAAAAAAAGAGAAAGATGCCAACACTGGTCCCTTCCTTGCATGCTTTGCCTATCAACATTCCCAGTGAACTGAATGCACTTCAACCAGCTGAGACAGACGGTCTGCTGTGACAACCCAACAGCCCAGGAGCAACGTCAGGTGTCCCTTGGAAGTCCCTGCTCTGGGTTATCCCCCTAGAACCGTGGTGGCGAACCTGTAGCATGCAAAGCCCTCTCTGTGGGCACACACGCACCCCGTCGCCCCAGTCCTAGGCCTTCAGCTGGGTTTTATAAAACCTTTTGGCTTTTGGCCTCCGCAGCTATGTGCAAAAAAAAAAAAAAAGGCTCAATTAATTTCAACTTCTCGAGGGAAAAAAAAAGATCTTGCAAAGTTGGAATTTTTAGAGACCGAGTGCCCAAACAGTAACCCAAAACCCACATGTATCGTCGGGTGCTAGGTGGATGTGGCCCAATGGGTGGGCGTGGCTGCAGTGGTAACGGCAGACTGGGTGGGACTAAAAAGTTCAATCAATCAATTCCAACTTTGCGAGATCTTTTTTTTCCTGTGAGAAGTTGAAATTGATTGAACCTTTTTTGTTTTTGCACACGGCAGTGGAGGCCTAAAGCGAAAACATTTTATAAAACCGAACTGAAGGCCTAGGACTGGGGCAACGGCACACATGCCCACAGAGAGGGCTCTGCGTGCCACCTGTGGCACGCGTGCCATAGGTTTGCCACCACGGGCTTAGAATTAAATATGACACATCTCCACAGGCATCTCCTGCTCGCTTGTGTGCACACACGTAACTCATCACTACAATCTCTATTGAGGCCAAAGGTATCATTTACTTAAAGGACACTGTATCTGAGCTACCTGAACATGCCGTTGGTAGATTTTGCCCACTTTGGCTGCCAAGGGGCAGGAAAACCAGCCCCTGGCATTTGGGGCTGGTTCAACGGGCATGTGGCCCAGTGGCTTCCTTGCTCCGCCCGGTGTGGATTGTCTCATGCAGCCCAAAGACTGGAAAAGAGGACCTCAAGCCAGGAAGCATTACACTTATATGCACATCAAACACTTGGACACTTTTGGGGAGCGGGGGTTCCACATTCTTCTCTTGTTCTCCAAACCCAGCAAGCCGCCTCTATTCTCCCAAGGGTGGAGATGACAAAGCACCCTCTGTTGCTCTTCACCAGAAACCTCTGGATTCAACCCATAGCAAGGACACCAGACGTGGCTAATGTCCTGGAAAACCCCTTCTGTTCCTGTCTCTGCCCCCACCCCCAGCTCTGGGGTTACTGCTGTGCCCCAGAAGGTTGGAAAGAGAGAGACTTCATTTCTAGGGGGGAAGGGAAGGAAGATGATCCCATCAGCCCCACACAAGGAAACCTTCCTAGGGCTCTTGCGAGTGAGTTCTATCAATGCTCACTTCCCCATGGTCTTGGGGGACCCACAGGTCAATTCAACAAATTAACTGCCAGACCTCATACGTCAGATCTAGGGTTGGTTAAGAATTATCCTTCCTTAGGCCAAAAATCTTCTCATAAACCCATCCTCTCTCCAGCTGGAAGGGGAGGGCAAAGAGAAAGAAGGGAAAGGGAAAGGAGCAAAAAGAAATCCCTGTGCAACAGGAAGCCAAGCAGTTTCTCTGCTGTCAGTTCCACTCCTGCCCCCCAGGCTTTGCGCTAACGTGTCCCATGGCTTGAGTTAGAGAAGTCAGTTGTTGCATATGCCACCCAGAGTTGCTTTTTAGGAGACGGGCAGCCATATCAATTCGATGGATGGACGGATGGCTAGACAGACAGACAGACGGTTGGTTGGCTGGTTGGGCACTCTGTGGCGTGGGTTTTGTCCCCTTGCGGTTAGATCCATGCCCCCCTCCAAACGACTGTGGGTGGGGTGACTGGATAGATTTTGGGAGGAAGCCACATCAGTTGCCTTAAAGAAAGCAATTGTGTGCCCCCTAGAGATTCATTGTGGGTCCAACTATCCTGGCAACTTCTACCTTGCCTCCAGCTTCCCTTTCCAGATAATGGGTGGAGAAAATGGAAGAATGGCAGCTATTGAGTGACGTGGAGGAGGCAAGTTACCTAGATTTCTTTCCATCAGATTGCAATCCTGGAGATAGGATGGAAAATGCAAAGAAATCAGGACCTGCATATGAGTGTGATCTGCTCAGCTCTATGGGGGGCAAATAATACTGTGTCTTTGCATATATGACTCTGAAATGCCTATTAGGCAGAGGAAACAAACTGAATTGTTGCCGTTCCTGTGGTGTGCAGAGAGCCCACATATGGGCACAATAAAGGACAGTTTATAAGGCAGCCGGGACAGGCTAGGAGCCTCTTTAGAATAGGGATTTTCAACCTTTTCACCCATGGTACCACTTTTAGGATATGGCAATATCCGAGTACCACCAGTCGCCTAGCAAGGTGTCAAAAACTTGATGACCACTCCCCCCCCAAAAAAGGAAAAAAGTGATGAAGGACAGGTAGTCCTCGACTTACAACAGTTCGCTTAGTGACTGTTCGAAGTTACAATGGCACTGAAAAAAGTGCCCCCCAAGGCACAGCTGAGCAAGACACCTGCCTGCCCACCCCTGTGGCACTCTTCCTCCTGTCCGAGGTTTTCATTGTTGTGAGCATTTCTGTTGAGGATTGGCAGTGGGGATGGGGTGAAGGGGTATTTGGTTTTTATTCCCCCGGTCTGCTGGGTGGTTGCAGCAGGTTTTGGTCGCTTCACATAACCTTGGGACATTGTGACCGTCATAAATATGAATCAGTTGCCAAGCATCTGAATGTAAATCACAAGACCCTGGAGATGCTGCAACATTCCACCTGATTGGCGCTTCTTCTGAGCTCAGCAGAAGCACCAGGATCAGCACCGAGCTCCAGCTGGAGCTCGGTGCTGATCCTGGTGCTTCTGCTGAGCCCTGACAGCCCTGCAGCTCCAGCCACCTCTCACTCAGGCTTGTGCGGTGCTGCCCCGGTTCAGCTCATTCCCCTCCCCTGCTACCACTTTTCTAGGATGGTTGCGTACCACCTGCCAGGTACCAATGTACCACAGGTGATACCCGTACCACTGGTTGAAAAGCCTTGCTTTAGAAGACCAGAAAGAAGAGTTACCAGGCCAGCCCACAATAAACTTAGCCCACGTCGTTATCAGATCCACATTCTTATAGTAATGGTTGTATTATCATTTATACTGCTTTTGCATGTACTGTGTAGCCCATAACTTTGAGAGTTTCAAGGTCTTCTGCATTCACTTGGCAAAAAGCCCAGAGACGCCTGCGGTTGTGTATGCCAAGAAAAGATGTTACATTGCCTTTGTTTTCCTTGGTTCCTTACTTAAGTGAGTATTTTTGCACAATAATCTTTTGATCCTCTCTGCAATGTTTGATATCTTCAATCAGTCTGGTCCCACCACAAGGGCAGGAGCATCGCTCTGCAGCATGTCTGCTCTCTCCAGCCAGTGAGAAAGGTCAGCTGAGGGTTGCTCCCTCAGAGGAGATGCAGGATCCAATCCTCTCTTCCATAGTTTACTTTAGATGACCACATGTGATTACTGGCAGAGGTCATCCAACAGGTAAAACCCCAAATCATCTGGCTCTCTGTTCCAATTCTGGACAGGTTTGCACTTCCTCAAAGGAATGAATTATGCAGGTCCTGGATTCACAAGTATTGCTAGATTTGCAGGTGTAACCAGCCAGGAAAATTTTGTGCATTTCCCAAAGCTGGGCTATGCCAGTCTGCTTTACACAGATCGCAAAAACCCACAACTGTGCAGGCTAACACATGCAAGCTGTTACAGCGTCTAACTGGTTTTGTAAACATTCATTGGCTTCCAATAATCTGTGTGGCTTTAACCTGTAAAGGCTTTCGGCCCTTGAATCTCAGTATCTTCAGGCTGTCTCCTTCATCCCACAAGGGGGTCCTGAAGGTCCCCTCTACTAGAGCGTCTGGGTGAGATGCTTATTTCTCTCCTTCACTTTGGAGCAGCCCCTCCCTAGAGGCGCAAGCCTATTAACAAGGGAGTGTTGATCTGTAATTGCCAGTAATGGGATTGAGGCCACAGGTATCATTTAATAGATTAAAAGCTGAATAGCTTTTGTGCCTTTTATTTTCTAGGAACAGCCAGGACAGTCTGGCATGTGGCAATACATGGAAACTGTGAATACCCTCCACCAACTATCCCCATCCCATAAGATCCCTGCCTTACCTGCCGGCAGAGGCTTTCGAGGGACCTACATCTGGAAAGAGAGGAGGAAGAAGTCGTCGACTGCCACCCTCAGCCGGCTGGGGACCCACACGAGCAGGCTCTCGGTTGGCTTTGTCCAGCTGTGCAGACGACATAGCCCACTCTTCTACCTTCTGTGACGGGAGCGATTGTCCAACACTTTCCCTTGCCGTCCAGCAATTCAAACTCTTGGGGGGAAGGAGAGCGCCTCTTGGGATTTTGCTCCCGCCCCCTGCAAAAGAGATCCTGCAACGCCATTCAGTCACCAGAAGAAAGGCCTCCCCCCCCCAGGTCGCGGCCACGAAGGCTCCGCTGGGGCCCCCACGCTCCAGGCAAGGATTCTCACCAGCCAGTTCAGGCAAAGCCTCCATATTACATAGCTCTTCCCTTTGTACAACCCTGCAAGCATGGCCGCCGGAGGGTCCTGGCACCGGGGGAGACCACCAGTGCCCGAAGAACGGGGCTGAGTCTTGCACGAGCGCACTGACACCCACACCTACCCACAGTGTCTTTCTGCGGCTTGCAGGAAGGTCCATTCACCGGGGCCCTTGAAAGATTTTGCACCAGGCAAGCAATCCTACAAAGAAGCCGCAGGAGGCAGGAAAGATGGAGGAGAAAAATGCCCGGGTACATCCTTTTCTCTTGGGCCCAGCTTTAGGATCCGCCAGCCCCCCTGCAGCCGAGGTCAGCAGCCCCCACCCGCGATTGGCCCGGCATGACCCACCCCCTACTGCGGCCCGCGGAGTGTTTGTGCACTCGGCCAAAGGTGATGAGTCCGAACCAGCTGGCCTGGCCAGCCTGCGATGCCGACCTGGCGCCCAGAGGCTCCGGCTCGCCTCTCGCATGTTGACCCAAAAGGGAGCCGGCAGTGGTTCCCATCTGCAGAGCCTGGTGCTTCCTCCCACCCCAGGAGCTGCGCTGCCCTCCCCCCTCCTCGAGAAGGGCCCTGGGTTGCCTTGCCTGCCGCGTCCAAGGGCTCCTCTCCGGCCCACCTCCCACTCTGCTGGAGCATCTGCCAGGCCGAGGTGCCCGAAAGAAAATTAGTTGCCTCGGCACCGGTGCCTAACCTCAGGAAGAGCTCAGCATATAAACCAACCAATCTAGCCCCAGCAGCCTGATTGCTCCCTTCATGTCCACCTCACGGGAAGGACGTGACAACCTGACTTCCACCAAAAGCTGGAAAAGTGCAACCTCAGCACACATACAAACTTGGCTGCCAACATGTGTCACACAATCCAGCTCATGGAGTTCCAGGCCGCAGAAGGCTAACTCAGACCTAGACATGCAGCAATTGGAGCAGAATATGGCAAGCAGACGTGGCCTTTAAACCTATCCCTGGCGCAAACCATTTCTGCAGGCAAAACCATGCCATTACCAACTCCCACAAAGCCCTTTGCCCATCAGCTCTGGACACAGCCTTTTTCTCAGATGGGGAGAGCTGAAGGGAGAGCTGTTCGGCTGGTATGCAGATCGGAGCCTCAGGAAAGGTCCCCTGAGGCTTCACTAGCAGCATGGAAGATGCCAATCTCTCTCCACTGACAACCCCGAGACCCATCTGCCTGTTCCAGGTTCTCTGGGCCCTGAGAGGGTGGAATGGGGCAACTCATTAAGGCCAACTCGCCATGGCCATCAGTCTCCCTGGGCTCAGGGTGGTTGATACCAGCTTGGTAGGCAGCTCTTTTTCTTAAGAGAGGAATAAAATCTCCCTGCGAGGTAGGCAGTGAAGGCAGAAGGAGAGTGGCTGTACTTACAATGTTAGATGTCTTTTTTTACCTTTTGCCACTGTCCACATCTCAATTCATGGCTGATCATGAGCTGGTTTTGATAGTGCAAGAAACAATCTACTACCCAAGAGAAATGAAGTTTTTTCAATTTAAACAAAAAGTATAAATACAGTAAAGCAGCCTACAGAGTGTCAGAGTGTCACAAGGAGAGAATACCTGACTATGCATTAGCACCATTGAGAAAGAAGTGCGTGAGAGAGTGTGCGTGCTTTGTCCAGGGGAGTGAAAACATCGAGCAGCTGTTCCTTCTGGCAAGGAGACATCTTCAGGGAATTCCAGTGAAAGGAAGGAGGCTGCATGGTGGGGGGAGATATAGGGCACTGAAGGCAGGATGAGCAGGATGCCCCCCTTCCATTCAGCAGGGGAAAGGTCCAAAGAAAGGGGCAAAGGGGAAAGTCAACTGTTGGGGCAGAACATCCAGTGCAGCTGACCTGGGGGCTGGGCCCGAATCCCGCCAGAGGAGGAAGTGCTGTTGCAACAGGAGCAGTTCCCTGCACAGATGCCCATCTAGAATCCCCTTTGGCAGCGTGTGGCTCTGAGGGTTTTACCTCTGGACAGCCTCGGGGAGAGGGAGATGCAGATTGGGCCAGTGGGCTAAGCTTGGAGGGCCAGACAATGCCTTGCTGTGTTTCTGAGGGGGGGGAGGAGGGGCTCAGTCCTTCTCCTCTGACCTTCATGTGCACACAGAAATTACAGGCACAGACACAGACATGCCCCCTTCTAGTGGAACAGGTGTATCAGAAAATGGCATTCGTCAATGTGTTGGCTTTGTGAATGCAACAATTCACTTTGGCTCTGGGCTACTTCTCTTTGGAGAAGGAGGCCTTGTGTCAAGGCTCAATCCACAGACAAAGGCAGCAAGCACAGAGGTAGGCTTTCTTCCCCTCCTTTGGCTGAACAAAGCAGTGCTGGGTAGAAAGAAAAGAAGGACTGACATTTCCCCGGGTCAGATACATACCAAAAAGCCGTATCTGCCCTCCTCATCCCAGGTGGGTAGAGAGTGGCAAAGCCCCCACCCTGCCCGATCCACCATCAGTGCCCAACCGAGCTCTTGCCAAAAGGATGGATCTCAAGGTGCCAAATGCCCCTCTGCAGCAGCCTCTCCTTGCAGCGGTGGGGCTCAGCCTCCTTCCTGGGGAGCCACCCAAGCAGCGGCTCAACTGTCTTCCTGCAAAGGGCCAATGGGGCACAGTTCAGCTGGGCTTTCCACCCCATCCCTGGAACCAGAACCGCTTCAGTTGGTCCTGCAGCAGCCCAGCGGGAGGAGTGAAGGGGGTGAATGGTACCGGCTACCCATGGAGCACTTGATGAGGGTGGAGGATAAGGCTTTTCTGTGACAGCATCCTCTGGCTGAGAAGCTCTGGGGCCACTACTTCCCAAGAGCATGAGGTGGGTCCATAATCTCCTCATATTTGGGGGGTGGGTCGCTGTAGGACACGTTGGGCTCCTCTGCGCTGCTGCCGTCAGGCTGCCCCGTCACTTCTTCGTAGGAGGGGGGAGGAGTGGCACTACACAGTCTAGACAGGGGGGGAGCCACGTGGTCAGGCTCAACAAGCGTCCTGGCCAGCTGACCGGGCAACCCCTGCCCCCACTCACCATCGGCAGCCCCTCGGCTGCTTGGGTCCCGCTGGTAGTGGGCTTCGCTCTGGCTGGGAGGAGCCTCACGGTGCACCCTCACCCTGGGCAAGCTGCGAGCCGCTCGGCTGGCCAGGCCCCTATTTTGGGGGTAGGAGGGCCGGTGGTGCGTGACTTTTTGTAGCTGGCAGCGCCAGATGATGAAGAGACCAATAACAATGAGCAATGCCACGCCTAGCAGGGGCACCACGACGTACATGGCATCGGAGCGGTCTGTTCCGTTGGAGGCATCTTTGACAGAGTAGGCATAACCCTTCCAGAACTCCATCTGCCAAGAATGGGAGACACCAGTCAGCAACCATCTACCCTCCCCCTCATAGTCCCCCTGAAAGGGATTAGCTCAAGAGTGCCTAAGGATTTGGACCATGTGTCACGAGCCAAGCAACAGAGAGAGGGGGGGGAGGGAAGGAGGGGGAGAGAGAGAGAGAGAGAGAGAGAGACAGACAGAGATTCATATGCAATCACGCAGTCCCATCACTAGGAGGCAGTACAAATGGTTCCTGATGCTTGGAGAAATCACCAAAACAAGACTACCCAATGTATTTATTCCTCTGACTTTTTCTTTAGGTTTTAGCTGGTGCATAGCTTGTTTTCCAACCCAACTATCAGCCCATTTTGCTTTCCTCCTGCAAAATTCATCCTCTTGCCCACCTGTCCACTCCTCACTCTTTTTACACCAAGGAGCCAAGGGCTCTTATATCTTATTTCTTGAGCAGTGAATAATAAGCCTTTTCAGACACTTGGAACAAAGAGAATGAATGTTATATTGAGCACTTGAAATTAACATGCTGTTTCCCTCTGTAGTAGCTGAAGCCCTCATCCAGATGGATTCTTATCCACATCTTGGGAGCAAAGTGGGGAAACTTGGTGCAAGGGAGTACGTGGGTGAAAGACAAGGGATACCCCTGCTGTTCCCTCCCAGACCCACCTACCGTCTTCTCCTTGTTCTCAAAGACCTCCTTGACTTCCTCATAGCTACAGACCTCCTCCACACACTCGCGCTCAATGGTGCCCTGGCGAAATTCTTCCAGAAAGCCATTGGCCCGTGGAAAGCGCTTCAGGATGGAATGGGCTTTTGGGGCTGTGAGGAAGGCTGGAAGACAGGCACCAACAGGGCCACCTTAACAAGCCAGGAATTGATCGAAATGTCTGCCAGCATCTGTGGCTCTCTGCATCTCTGCCAGTTCCCGTTCTTCTTCTGTGGTGGAGGCCTTGCTGCTTCTTTGCAGAGCAAGATCATCATCTCCCCTCCCACCTAAATTTCCAGTGGCAGAAGAAGGAGATATTACTTATTCTCTTAACCTGTGATGGGTAGGATTGGGCTCGTGTGGGCTGGTAACCCAATGCACTTGGTCATGTCATCAACCACCTTGATGCAAAGAGGGAAAACACTACCTTAAACCTGGAACAGCTAAACCCCCATCAGCCTCAGTGGTGGGCTGTGACATTTGGAAAGGCTACCTAGCCTCTCCTTAGAGAAGACAAACCGTGGGCGAGGGTGAATAGGCCCCTCCTGCAAAGGTAACCTCAGATTAAGACAGTTTCAGCATTGGCCAAAACACCCCCAAGACACTCCTCCCCCTTGGGACAGTCTAAGAGCAGCCCTCCTCTCCTTTCTCTCCTTGCATTTTAAAGCTAATTCAAGAATGTAGAAGAAACCCAGCCAGCCCCGTGTGGCGTAGGGGAGGGCTTTGAGCCCCTTCTCTCCAGGATGGGTGGAAAACATGCTTCCCTCCAGCAAAAAATTCACCTACTTGCCATGTTAGGTCTTCACTCTATCAGTTACGGGTCTCAGCCAACTGTTAGGAAGAGAGCAAACCAGTTAAAAAACCTCCCATTAATTCTCAGGTTCCTCTTCCCTTCCACCATCCTCGAAGATGTTTGAGACCCCGTTGCCCAGGCCAATCCCGAAGCTGCCCTTCTTCCTCCAGACAATACCAGCACAGACAATAATGAAAAAAACATCTCCAGAAACTGAGGATCCGTGTTGGCAGCATATGTGCCAGGAACACGGACAGATTTGCTGGGAGGAAGGAGGGGCCCCTGAAGGCAGGTCTCTGCATACGTGAAGTTCTACATCAGATGATGGAAAAGAAGCGGCAATCCCTCCCCCCCAACATTGCACAATGCAGGGCTTTTGCGCAAGGAGGGGAGTGGCAATCCCACAGTCCAAATAGGATCTGCCTTTCAGTTACTAGACCTCGCAACTGGTGAGCCAAACGCTCCCCTCCAACCTCTCAGGCACACACACACACACCCCGCCGCAGTTTGGCTCGTAGGTGCCAGCGCTGAGCGAGGAGTAAGAGTTTTGCCGAGGCAGAAGAAACGGGGATGGCAGCGGGGGTCTGGTCCCCAACTCTTCAGTGGGAGCGAGCACCAGGCGAGCCGGCCACAGCAACCGTGCCACACACACGCCTCCCGCATTTCCCAAAGGGAGAGCCCTTCCTCGAGCGCACGAAGGCCGTGAGGACTTCGATCCCTTACCTCTGCCGTCGGGGAAGAGGTTGCCATAGCAACAGCGAGGAGACGTACGGGATGCAGCGAGAACAGGATGCTGCTGACGTCATGCGCGCCGCCTCCAGGCATCGTGGGCACCGACGGGTAACGGGCCTGCCGGAGCGCGCCCCTCACCCGGCTCGCCGGGAAAATAGAAAGGCCTTCGGGAGAACGGAGCCAGCCTCGCCGCCTGTGCTCGGGGCGAGAGACGCAAAGCCGAGGCAGCCACTCTGCCCCGCCCTCCGTTAAACTCTCCGAGACGACCACCATCCGAAACCTCGGCTTGCTCACTGGCTTTTCGCGGCGAGAAGCCCTCCAGAAGCTCGGCGGGTCAGCCGGCAACCGCGGCCAGTCGGAGGCGCCAAGGGGCGGGACTGGCCGCGCGCCCAGCCAGCCGCGCCCTGGAGGCGGAGCTCGCACGCACCCCCTGGCCCCTCGCTGCATTATCTAATCGTAGGTCCAGCGAGCTGGAGGCGGGCCGCCCGCCCATCCGTGCTCCAAACGGAAAAGCCAATGGGTGGGCTAACGGATACCTTTCCTTCTCGCTTGGGCTTCTGGGAAGCGTGGTCCAGGGGCGGCCGGAGCCTCTCCTGTGGGCGACGCGAGGCTGAACGCGCGCGCGCCCTCCCTAGTCCCCGGGGCATTTCCCTCTTTCTGGGCCAGGGTCTTCTCGTCGCGGGCCTCTCTCAAGACGCTACTGAGAAGGGGAGGCGAGGCCCCGTTCCGTAGATAGTCTCCCCCAAACGCTTCCTTGGCGGCTCCCGGCGGCTGCCCTCCCCCCCGTGGCCCATCCAGCTGTTTCGCTGCGCCTCCAATCAGTAAAAGAGGCGCCTCCAGGCCACGCCAGGGAGAAGGAAGGAGGAGGCCTTCCAGTTGAAGCAGCTGCTCGTGCCTCTTGGCGGGGGGGGGGGCGAGTTGCCCGGGAGGAGCGGTTCTCCCCCACCTGCTCCCCCAGGGCTTGGGAAGTCCTGCTTGGACTAGGTGGTAGGCTGGGCGGCCCGGCGGCCCCTTGGAGCTCGTGCCAGCCAGGACCGAACCACCCTCTTTCGAACGCTCCAGCTGGGCAAAGGCTGCCTGAGGCCAGGGAAAGGGATGCTGTCTTCCGGCCTTGGCCCGATTGGGACGATCCCCCTGGGAGCCTTATGAGAGTTGAGGGATCCATCTTGACGCCCCCAAGCAGAACCTTCCGGACGCGCCTGGAGCCTGTTGGCTTCGCTTATTATTGTAGGGCAGCGCCACCGCCACATTCACGGGGAGATGAGTTGGATGGCAGCCTGCCCCTGCCCACCTGGAAGCCTGGTCAAGCAGTGGAAGAAGAGCCCGCAGGTGGCTCTGCTGAAACTTAGGCTGTCAGCAGCTTCTTTTCTCCTTCCTCGAGTCCTAGCTCCCTGGCAGCGCTGGTTTACGGGCCGGCTGACCAACAGCCTACCACCCTCGCGCAGGCAAGCCAGGCTAAAACTGGGCTCCCAAAGGACCTGTGGGAGCAATCCAGGAGTGCATCGGCTGAGAGCCCAGCTCTCGCGTGATTCATCGTCTCGAAGCCTTGGCCTTTGTTTCCAGCATCATGGTTATATTGTCCTGAATTACTACTTTCCTGTGTATCACGGAAGTTAAAAGAAGCGTCCAGGCAGGGCAGCTGCTTATCACCGTCCTGAGATGCTAAGACCTTGTTTTAGTTGCCTTCCAAGACTGGGGGAGGGGGCGGCGGTAGGGGGAAAGAGGGGGATCTTGGTGCTGTTGGAGTCTGTTTGTTTTCTTGCAGGCGTTTCATTACCAAACTAGGTAACATCATTACGCACTGATGTTATTCCCCAGTTGTGTCATGAACATCTGCAAGAAAACAACCAAGCTCAGAGAGCACCAAGGACCCCACAGTTCAACTCTGAGCTACAAATATTGCCTTCTGTCTGTACTGTGGGAAGCTGGGAGGGCAGCAGAAAACACTGCTGTCCCCCCACTACCCCCCCCCAACCCCTTGGCTCTTTTGCACCAAAACTAAGAGAATAAATCTGGGCATTTGTGGGGAAACTTACACACATACACACCAACCCTGCTGCCAATCAGTGCATGCAGAGCTGCAGTGGGAGAGAGAGTAGCATAGAAGCCAAATCCCATTTCCTCCACCAGATTGGGCAATTGACAAGGAAAAGCCTTCCTTCTGCTAGGATAAGCAGGGGACAAGGGATGTGTTGAGCCTGCAAAGCCCCCTCCCATCCTCTCACTCTTCCAACCAAAACTCTGGTCTGGCTGTCCTGAAGCAGTTGAACAGGCCTTGCCAGGAGAGGGATGGTCTGTTAGGCTGAACGGAAGAGACAAAATGCCTCAGGACCAGGGGCTGTGGGTGCTGGTTCCCCCCTCCCTCTCCCCCTCCCCTTGCAGGTGGGAGCAAGTAAAAGAGCAGCTCCACACTTCTCTTTTGCAAGGGATTTTTAAAAATCAGGGTAAACTTTATTTTTCTATATGTGTTAAAAATACCTAGCAAAGCTTTATTTTATTTATTTTCAAATTTAAGCACCACCCATCTCTTCAGATGAGTATATGCTCTTCTGTATATCATGCAACCCATAGACAGGCTGAGGGTCACCTTCTCATTGAAATGGGACCACAACCATTACGGGCTTCTTCCTCTGAGAAATGAGCAGTCGCTTCTCATCAAGGAGCCTCTCAGAATTTTTGTTAAACTAGTGAAAACAGATGTTCCTCCCTTTGCCCTAATGATCACTGATAGCTCTTTCTTTTACGTTTTAGGACGTAATTTCTACAGATAAGGGGATGGACAAAGGGCACTTGGCATTTTTTTCAGAAGCTAATAATTAATCCAGGATGGTTTCCTTTCAAGCTCCCGGTCTTCTAGACAACATTTGCTCCAACCTGCACTTGAGCAGAAGGGTGCAGAGAGCAAGAAGACACCAACACGCAATCGCTGAGGAGAGCAAGAATGGTCTCGGTCAGACTCCAGTTGGCAGGCTACATTTTGGGGCTGCTGGGCTTGCTGGGCACCCTGATTGCCACTCTGCTGCCCAGCTGGCGGATCAGCTCCTACATTGGCTCCAGCATTGTCACAGCGGTTGGCTTTTCAAAAGGACTCTGGATGGAGTGCGCAACCTACAGCACAGGCATCATGCAATGTGATATCTACAACTCTCTGCTCAGCCTGCCCACTGACCTCCAGGTGGCCCAAGCTATGATGGCCACCTCTGTTGCTGTAGGTTCGCTGGCTGCCATTCTCTCTGTGGCGGGGATGAGATGCACCATCTTCTCTCAGAGCTCCCCAGCAAAGGACAAAGTGGCAGTTCTGGGAGGAATCACTTTTGCCCTGGGGGCACTGCTCAGCTTCATCCCTCTTGTGTGGAATTTCCATGTGATCCTCCAGGACTTCTACAACCCTCTTGTACCAGACAGCATGAAATATGAGATTGGGGAAGCCTTGTATTTGGGCGTCCTATCTTCCTTGATCTCCTTCATTGGCGGCACCATCCTCTGTGCCTCCTGCCCACCTCGTGACTCGCAAGCAACCTGCTACAGTCCTCATCATTCTCGGGCCATGGCGGACAGGAGCTCCCTGCCAGCTATCACATCTCCAAAGGCCAGCGCATATAGCCAGACTGGCTATGTGTAGCAGTGGCTGGCCACCCATGAAAACTGGCTCACTGGATGCACTGAGTAGGTAAGCAGAGAGACAAATAGGCTTATTCTTCCCACAACCCTCCTTTCATCCTCAGCACTCCAGCCCTCTCTCTTCCCGATGCAACTTGGCACTGCCGAAGGTGTTGTATTGCTTGTCAACAGTCTGGTGACTGCAGTGTCTTTGAGACCAGTGGGGCTGTGTTTCCTCTGAAGACCTTCCTGCTAGACCAAGCAAAGTGCCCAATGACTGCATGGCACAGGAGGAATCAATTTGGAGGAGTCACAGATGCCCACCAGGCCTCTATTAAGCACCTCTCAAATCCTGCCGTCATCCCATCTCCCATTCCATAGGATTCAGCCCGAGTGGGAAACAGGACTAGGAGGACATAGCTCAGTGCTGTGGGGAAACAGTCACCATTTCTGGGAGAGACCTGCAAGTCCTTGGTAAGGGAATAAAAAAAAAAAAAAACCACCCCAATCTGCCGGAGCCCATAACAAGAGGGTTGATGGCAGAACAGACCAAGGATGCCTGGGGATGTCCTAGGGCAACTGAAGCATCCTCTGAGAGAAGTCAAGACCCACATCCCTTGCCCTGTCTTCTACAGATTTCCAAAAGGATGACAAGTTGCCCACAGTCCACTGTTATTTAGGTCTCAAATGTGTGTATTTAGCCTCTGGCTTTGAAGAGGCCGAAATGTGCCTGCTCCGCGGGTGGGTACATGCTGGTCTTGGCAGATGAAAGAACTCCATGGGCACACCTGCTCCAGGATCAAAGGCCCACTCCATCCGCCCATCCACTTCAAGTATTCCATCTTGAGAAGCCTTTGGGCTTAGAAGGGCTCAGTGGTTTCACTGGCCAATGAAGAGCTCCTGTTCAAGCAGGGGTTGGACTAGGTGGTCTCTTCTCTTCCAACCCTGTTATAAAGGACTAAAGGAAAAGGACAGAGGCGGGACAGAGGGGCTTAACTATGTCTGGGCCACTGGGAAAGAAGCATCTCTAACACCAAGGCCAATTCCTTCTAACCTGGGAGCCAAGGAAACAAGATTGGGATGATCCTGAAGTACTTCTGGCCCATCCCAAAGAATTGTTTGGAGGCCAACAAAACGTGCCCTGGGGTGATCATTTATTCTACCTCCTGCTGGCACCAGCCTCTGTTTGCCTGTTGGTCTATTTAGCAATGTCCTGGAACAGGAATTTTAAAAAGTACATGTGTTCTCAGAAGAAGAGCTAATGCTCTGGGTAGGAAAAGGGGGGGACCGGGAGGGAAGGCAGCAGGCAAAAGTGAGTTGGCAAATGGGTGCAAGGGAAGACGTAGACTTGATGCAAGATTCTTCCCATATAAAGTGTGAGATAGGTATCTAGAGGGAGGCATGGAGAAGCTTAAAAACCCTAAAGAGGATGATACTGAACTAGTTGGGAATCCCTGCTCCAGCAAAGGTTTGTCTTAAAGAAAAAAGTGCAGCAAAGCTATGATTCCCAGAACAAGCAGATAGTGAGTTTCCAGAGGGTCTGCTGAGGACATGGAAGAGGCCATACAAACACAAGTGGGAAAAGAATAGCTCCACTTACGAAGAGTGCAAAGTATGCAGAGAGTGAGGACCAACCAATCCCTTCACGACTGAAGGCAGGGAGTTGGTTAAAGAGACCAGGAGACAAGACAAACAGTAACCAAACTAACGGAGTGGATTCATCCTGGCGAGGTCCTCTCTCTTGCAGGGCTACTTAAAAGCAGACCGTGACATCTTTACAGTGGAACTGAGCACAGCAGGGGCTGGGAACGGTGAATTCAACAGGCCTTTTCTAGCTGCAACAGCCTAGGAATTCGTTGGTCCAGTCTAAATTTGAAGGTGCGAGACTGGACCGTTCCCAGGTTGTAGGGTCCGTATGTGGCGACTCCTTGCAAGGCTTCAGAGCGGCCATCTAGAAAATTGCATGTGGCCAAGGGATGTCCCAGAAGATTGAAATGCCAGGATGGAACTCCAGAGCTAGGAGACATTCTATACAAAAGACTTTTCCCGTGAATTGAGTGGATGGATGGATACGTAGTTATCAGCCATGACGAGGGCAATTCCCTATTAAAAGAAATTCAGCAGTGTTATTTTTGTTTTCTCCCAGTCATGCCAGTGATGGAGGAAGGGTCAGCTTCCTTGGGCAAAGGAGCAAGCTAAGCTGTGGGTGATGCCTTCTTCCTTGCAGGCTGTTTCCCCTGCCTTATTTTGACCCGCCTTGGGGAGTGTGGAGCCACAGCTAAGCTCCTTTCAGAACAGCTGGGTGTCCAGTGGATTTACGTTTCCACAGCTTACGCAGGCAAAGCTTGGACAGTTTAGGTGGAAAAAAACCTTTTGATTAATGCATTGCTGCATTGCCGCCATTAACCTTTGCAAACCAATAAAGCTATTTTCCTGATAATAGATGACGAAAGCATTCTTGCCATTTCCCCATCCCCCAGGGGGAAATGGTTCCTAAGGTGAAAGAACTTAAAAGGGACTTTTTCTCTCTCTACACCCACCCAGTCACACTGAGTGCTCCTTGAAACAATTCACCGTGACCACTTTAAGGAGGGCAGAATGCAGTCTGGGCAGTCACTGTCCAACAGATTCTGCAAGAGGTGGGACAGGTAAGGGCAGGCTTCCAATCCCTTGCTCTACTCCCTTCAATCTCTTTCTTGCTGAGCCTGTGATTTTTTCCCTACTGCTACCCCTTAGAATGCCCAGCAACATCTGTTAAATCAATGGGAGGGATCAGGCCCTATAGGTAGTCTCACAGCCCAAGCAAGCAGCAAACGCGACACCCTGCTGCACTCTTTTACTAACCAAGGTGGGGCCACTAGATTTCCATGACCCAGAGAAAAAAGCAACCAGGAGAGCAGAAAGACAGATGGTGGAATTGGGAGACCCCCTCCTAAGAATGTGCTTCTGCAGGGCTCCCTTCCATGCAAGTGGGGAACAACTGGAACAAGACCGTATCAGAGACAATGGAGAAAGAGCTAAGCAAGCTTTAACACACCAGTGGCTGCTACTTTCTTCCTTCAACCAGGTGAGAATTCATTACAAGGGCGAAGCCTCCGCAGCCAGCTCCGGGGTTCCCCACTTTATTACACAGAGGAAAAAGAAGGGTGGAAACACCTATCATCTAGTCACATTCCCTGCTATGCTCCCACCCCTAACCTTTGCCCCAGATGATGGAGGAGGGGAAATCAAGTGCAATTGTGAGCAGTTCAGCCCCCCCCCCCAGAATAGACCAGTCTGGGGGAGTGGCTTTTGAAAAGAGCCCAGCAGGCCAGCCTCCTTTGTCTAGCCCGGCGAGTTAATGGGCCTCCCTGCCTCTCCACACCCTACCCCCCATGGGCCTCTTTCACCCTGGCTGGCAGGATGCTTAGTCTACAAAGGGTGAATGATGCTCCTCTCCTTCTGCTCCCTACCTGAGAGAGATGGGAAGCAGAGCTCTAACCCCCAACTGGGGGCTGTTTCTTGAAGGGCCTTGGGCTCCCACCCCTCTGTCCCAAGGGTCAATCTGCTGCAAAACTGGGGGCCTGGCTCTGCCTGAAACAAAGCAAGCATCTTTGGCTCCCAGTTAGCAGGAACTGCTTTAAGTATCCATCTGATGGTCTTTAGCAGCTCAAGGTCAAGGAAAGGGACTTATTCCCTTTCCCTTAGCAAACGTTAAACAACCCCACCATCCGTTAGCAACACTTGCTTATCTTCTGACTGAAGATGGTACCCCAGAATGTTCTGAGAGGACCCAAACAACACAGCCAGAGGAATCATGAGCATTCACGCATTTTATGCAAACTGAGTGAGAAATGGTCAGCAGAGCCTCTCACGCAATGGTGGTATAACAAAATGACTCTTGTAGCTTGGCAAGCCCACTTTTATTCCCTGCTCCCCACATGCAGTTGGCTCCCTCTGTATGTGGAAGCAAAGGGGCTTATAGCCCCAGCGGCAACAGGTCCTACAAGACCTCTTCCAGTTTCTCCGTCTGCAGGTAAAGTCATCAAGCTACCCCAACAGTCTGGGATTTGTCTGACTGACTGTTGGTCTCCTGGAGTGCAAAGTTGATCTCAGGGCCAGGGGCGGAAACCAGCCTCTCACTCCGCCCAAACTCAAGGATGAGTGGCTTCCCTAGCAGGAGAAACCCGTTGAGCAGCTCCAAAGCATCCTGGGCCTGGGTCACGGCTGGCCAGAGAAGAAGGCTTAGTGGAGGAGGGGGAGAGTCCAACCCAGCCGAGCCCTCCCAGAGAGGCCAGCTACTTACTGGGAAAGGTGAGGAAGGCCTGGCCTCTCATGCGCCCACTCAGCAAACGGAAACGAAGAGGGGGGTTGTCCTTCTCTTGGAAGCGGGAGAACAAGGGCAGCAGGTCATTCACTGTAGCGTTGCGAGACAGATTTTTCACATACAGCACCTAACCACCAGAGGAAATGGAGCAGGCTGGGTGTCTGCCGTAGCCCCCGCCATCTCCCCAGCACAGGAGCTGTTTGCAATACCTGCCTGCTAAGATGGAAGAGGGACAAGAGGCCCCTCCTTTTGCTGCACAAGACTATCCAGGCTGAGGGTCACTATATTCTTCTCCCCTGAAGGTTCCCCAAGCCTCCCCATCATCCTGGACAACTGGCAGGGAGGGTTTGTTTTGCCTGGTTCTGCACTTCACAGAGAGGCAAACCCTCTCCCTCTGTGGGGAAGCTGCTCAATGGTCCAGGCACTAAGCTGAGCACCATGACACAAGAAGCCAGGCAGCAGGACTCTCCCAGAGAAGAGCAAAGCATCTTAGCCCAGCCCAGCCTGCCTGGTAAGTACCTTGCTTGGCTCCCCTGGGCTATAGGAGGAAAATCTGGGGATTCTGCGGATTTCTTCCTTGGAAAGGCGGCTCTGGAGAATCTCCTCTTCTGGCACACACGCTACAGGCTCTGTCACCACCACAGGCTCTATGGCTGATGGAGCTGCTCCAAGGCTGGTGAAGGGGGTAGAGCAAGACGATTCAGGCACCTTCTGGGGAGACTCCGGTGGTTTCAGTGGCCTCAGGCTGGGCAGTGGTTCGCTCAGGAGCTCCCGATAAACCGCATCCAGCTGAGCCATTGGGCCCGTCTCAGGGGCAACTTTGGGCTGAGCTTCATCTGAACCACAAGAGACAAAGGCAATTCCTGACCAGAGCCTGAAATAGAGGAACGAGCCCTGCACAACATGAGGCAGCTCTCGGCCCAGACAGGCGCCATACCTTGGCGATACAACATCCGCAGAAAGGAATGGTGGTCTGTTCCCTGGAAAAGAGCCCTCTCGATCTCCATCTCACGCCTGCTGAGGGACTTGCTGCCTGCAAAGTGCTGTGGCAGGGAGAGGATGCGCTGGCGCTCCGCCATCTTCTCCTGGATGGCTCGGACCCTCTCCAGAGCAGCCTCCGGGGCAGCCCCAAGCCCAGGGCTCTGAAGCAGACAAGAAGGTGGGCAGACTCGGCTCGGGCCCCAGGGCAGCGGGAGAGAGCAGGGCAACTGCCTTCCTCTCGGCTGGGGCTGGGGGGGCGAGTGGTCGCTTGGAGGGGCGAGGTGGGGGGGGGCTGGGACGGTTGACTGAGAAGGGTTTATGGAGCGCAGCTGCTGCAGAGGAGAGAAACCTCAACCTCGGCCAGGCAGCGCCGCAAGCGAACCAGGCGGTCAGCCCCAAGGCGTCGGAAGGCCTCCCCGCAGCCCCCGGCCGGCTACCTTCTGGGCCCGCTGCCTCCAGAGGCGGATCTCGGCGTCGGAAAGGCCCAGCTCCTGCAGAGAGGCCGCTTCCCCGCTGCTCTCCTGCAGGGCCCGGAACTCCGGCAAGGTGCGGGCGCCCGCAGCCTCCTCCCCGAAGGGCCGGTACACGGTCGCCGGGGCGAAGCGGTGCCGCTTGGCCACACACCTGCGCGAGAAGGCCCGTCACGCCGCGCCCGAGGCTCACGGCTGGGGGGGAGGGAGGGAAGGTCCCGGGCGAGGCCCTCCCGCGGCCACTCACTGCTCGAACGAGGCCGCCGTGTCCAGCTGGAGGTGCAGCAGCCGCTTCAGCTGCCTCTCGCCCTCCGTCTCCAGCTCCTCCGCCGCCGCCTCCTCCCCGCCGCGGGCTCCGCACCTGCGGAGGAGACAAGACGAGGGAACGGCGTCTCCCCGACCGCCCTCCGGCCGCACCTCCCCCTTCCCTCCGCCTGCCTCACCGCCTCATCGCGGCCAGGGATTGCAGGGGTACCGTGCGGACTGCCGGGAGCACCCCTATTGGCTCGGCTCGCACCCCAGGCCCCGCCCCCAATCACGTACTACGAGGCCCCCTGGCGGTCGACTGGCGAAGGCTCAGCAAAGGAGACGCGTTTGGAAAGAAACTCTTTATTGAGGGCTACAAAAAGAAGCGCGCGGGGGGGGGGGGAAGCGCAGAGGCGCACCAGGCAGCGCGTTAGTCGAAGGTGATGCGGAAGCTGCGCTCCTGCTCCTTACGGCGACTCTCGCAGACCTTGCTCATCTCCTCCACTTTCCTCTGCAGCAATGCTGTGGATAAATGGAGAAGGGCTGCTAGCTTGGGAGGGGGGTGTTCTGCCACCCTACAGGTACAAACTTGCTCTTATGGCCCCACAGGCAGAAAAGAGGCACTAACTGAAAAGCGCCCTCTCTCATTAGCAGAAAGATGGGCACCCCGAGAGGTAAAAGAGGAAGACCAGAAAGGCATAGCTGCCAGATCAGACTGAAGGGGGGTGGGGTTAATCCTGGACTCAGACACCTCCAGGGCCATGACACTACACCTGGCTATAAAAAGGGAGACTGCCACTCCCTAGTAATTCGGAACCAAGTACCTGAGTTCTGATCAATCCACTGCAAAGAATCCATGTGTGCATTCAGAATTTTGCAGATTTGCTGAAGCTGCAAAGTGGGGAGAGAAAACCCAAGTTTTGGTGAGGAAATGGCTCCCCTGCCTCCATGCCAACCCAAGGACAGGAGCTTCTATCTCCCTATTTACATCAGGTTCCTCAGCAAGGGGGCAGCCAAAATGTTAGCTCGAGCAGAACTAACAATTCAAAGCACAAAATAGAAGGGCCCCGCTCGCACAACACAGGCACTCACAGGGTCACTATTGTCAGCAGGGCCCCCGGAGGTGTTCAGGTGCTCAATGATATCTTTCAGGTCTTGGGCCATGCGCTTCAGCTGGGCATCAATGTTCTCTGCCAGCTTGTATCTGCAGCATAAGAGCAAACAGTTAAGGACACACGGAGGCAAAGAGCTGTGTAACAGTGCCTCTGCCTCTCACAGAATGGGCAAGGGGGTGAAGAGCAACAGAAGAGACCCAGCTGGAGGGACCATGACACTCAACCTGGAGCAAAAGGACCTTCGGCTACAGGATGTCAACAGACAGGCACACAAACACCCGCTTTGCTGAAGGCTTCAACATTCCCACTACTAAGATTGTCAGCCATGCAGGTACAAAGATAGCCAGGGAAATGACTGAAGCCTGAGAAACGGGCCCCTTGTTGGGCCTCTTGTTAGTCAACAGGAGTGCTGATGTAGCACAAGCTTATCAAGTACTTAGGAGTCGATTGCCAGCCATCAATTGCCAGCCATCAACACACCAATTGCCAGCACAAGCCAATTGCCAGCCATCAACACACCAATCAGTCAATAGGAAGGCACTATATAAATACGAAGCATAAAATATCTCAAAGCATGTATTCCAGTAGAGAGAAATTCCCCGAGGATGGGCTCCAGCACAAGACTACCTCTGGTACCAGTGACCGACCCAGATTGGATTCCTACTATTGTTCAAGAGACCAAGGGAGGGCACGATGCCAGCCAACTGGTCCCTCCAGGAGAAGCAAGAGAGCCCGCCTTCAGGGATGCTCACGTCTTTTCCCGCTCCTCATCTGCATGTTGCAAGTAGATTGTTCCACTCTGCTCCTTCACAGACTCCTCCAATGGGATCAGCAAGTCTTCTAGCTCCTTTTGCTGAGACAAAATGAAGTCCAGCTCTTGATCCAACCTACAAGGGAAGGGAGGAAGGGAAGGAACAGCATGCTAAAGTGCCTTAGAAGGGGACAGTGCTGCATAGGCTGTTCAGGCCATTCAGAATTCCTGGTAAGGATATTAACAATTGTGCACACTCACACAGCCACACAGAGGCTGCACACTGACTCAGATTTCTGATACCCCTTACAAAATTTGCAGGCCAGGACACCATCACATGGTTCTTGATGCTGCTTGACTCCAAGAGCAAGCAATGGGGACAACGCTTGTTTCTATGCTACTTGAGGCATTCGCTAGATCAAAGGTCAGTGCCAGGCAAAGCTCGCCTCAAGAGGTTGGAAATCTTGCGTGTTTCAAAGGGCTTGGACAAAAGAGAGCTTCATGGGGCCCAAATCCCTGCTGCTTGGCCTCTTGCACATTGCATCCCTTCTCCTAAAGTAGCCAGTAGGGGCAGCCCTCCTCTTTGCTCCTGAGAAGCAGGGGAACCAAAGCCAATTCTAGTCTGTTAAAGGCCCAGTCCCTTACCTCTTTTGATCCAGCTTCACTTTCTCTACTTCTCTGTGTAAAGTTGTGATCTGCGTTGAGAGAGAGAAAGAGAGAAATAGAAATGCAGTTGCTTCTTTCTTTGACAGAATCTGCCTTTTTGAACACCAGAGCCAGGCAGCCACCCTCTACCTTTTCTCCATTTTCAATCAATGTCCTGTCCCAGGCATTGACCTGGGTGGCCTGCTGAAGGAAGTGCTTCTCCTGGTCCTCCAGTTCCAGGCTCCATTTGTTAATCAGGCTCTCCAGCTGGGCATAAGTCATCACGGGGGGTGTCCTGGACAGAAGATGGAAAATCCCAGCCCACCATCAGTCTGTTTGCAGGGGACCTGGTGCTCCCATCACAACCAGAGCTCTCTCCATACAACTTACATGCCAGTTGTGGTGGTTGCAGTGGAGGTGGAAGCAGCCACGCTTGTTGTGGCAAGGGGTTTCATGTTCAAAAGGAATCCTGCAGCAGGTACAGAAACAGCCCCTGGAGAGAAAGTTACCTGACATCAGACTGTAGAGGGCAGCGGCCACTGAAGTGGGCACACCTGGGCCTCTAGCCCCTACGTGTCCTCTAGGCAGAAGAGCAGGGAAGGCTCTGCTCTGGGGCTCCTGGACTCAGTACTACCCAGGGGTAAGACTGGTTTTGCCCTGCAGCACAAGCAACAGCCCTTTTCTCCTACTGATGATTTCCCTGACTTGAAAAGGAAGCCGTGAGCATATACACAATATGCTCCAAAAGGAGTGCAAACCAGATGGTCAAACCTGCCAGAAAGACCACTTTAAAGAGCCCCAGTGCACAAAAGGACACCTCGTTCCTTCAGCAGATCCTCACCAGCTGCGGGGAGGGCAGCGGTTGCTGTTGTGGTCACTCCAGGCATTTTTGAGCCAAATCCCAAGGTCCCAATGGGAGCTGCTCCTGTCGAGGAGGTACCCACTGCAGAAGAAAGTGACAAATGTTCCTAAGTGGCCAAGAATAGTTTTTTAAAAAGCTGAATTACACACTGAAAAATGCTACAATCATTTGTGTCAGAGAAAAACAGGCAAAGTATACAAAATTCTGACCCAAAGGGAAATAAAGTAACCAAACCATCCAAACTTCTAACCATCCTATGCTCTCGGTTGCGCAAAGGCTGTAAAGAGACCTGCTCCAGCTGGCCCTGCCCCCTCAGCCATCTTACCTGAAAGGCTAATGGCACTACAGGCAGCTGGAGCTGAGGAGCCTGCTACAGATGCAAACAGTGTGGGCCCTGATAGGCCCAGGAGAGAAGAACCTATAGTGGCAGGTGCCCCGGAAGTGGCAGTGGTACCTGTGGAAGAGGGCAAGCAGAAGACACCTGCTGAGGTTTCAGTGTTCCCTGGGTGAGAACAAAACAAACGGCTTCTAGACAGGCACAATTTTCTGTCTCTCTTAAGGCCAAATACCATTTCATTCTATCTAGAGATAAGGAACAAAATGAGTGCAATTTTACCAATGAACCAAACACAGCAGACATTCTTCAACCTCCTGTTCAATTGTTACAATCTAGCACAATTAACCAATGGAACAGCTTGCCATCAGAAGTTGTAGGTGCTTCATCACTGGAGATTTTTAAGAGGAGACTGGACAGTCACTTGTCTGAAATGGTATAGTCTCCTACTTGAGCAGGGGGTTGGATTAGAAGACCTTCAAGGTCCCTTCCAGTTCTATTCTGATTGAAGTACTATGGTGCCATAGTGAAAGATTCCAAATAGGGGAATCTTTAATATGGGACATGCACACATACACACAAAAAAAGGCTTATAAAAGAACTGTTGCAATTGGGAAATTAAATGAGAATTGTTGGAAAAGTGCATGTAAGAAAAAAAGATTTTTCAGACACACATTTGCCAAATAAATTATTCCAGGAAAAGATCAACACTCTGTGCTGCACTGGGCAGACCACACCTGGGATAGTTCAACAAAATATAAGCAGCATCCTGAGGAACTAGATACAGCATAGGGAAAAGCAGCAAAGATGGTAAAAGACTTTGAGACTAAAGCTGAAATACAGCAATTGAAAGAACTCAGTATATTTAATCCAAAGAAGGCAGCAGCCTTCCAATACTTGAAAATCGGCCACAGGGCAAAGATTTATTTTCCATAGCATCTGAAAGTGTTCCATCAGGGGAGGTTTTCAAGAAAAAACTAGTATCTAATCAGGATATTTTTAAAAAGCAACAATGAATAGTAGCAGCAGGCGATTTAGCCAGGTGAGCAAGCTCCAGCACAGCTCATCAGTACCCAAGCCCAAAACATACCTCCAGGTTTAGCCCCAAAGGACAAAGCTGTGGTGGTGGTGGTGGTGGTGGTGGTAGAAGTGACAGCAGCTGGAGCCAACACTCCAAAGCCAGAACCTGCAACAAAAAGAGAAGACAGGAAGCAAAGGGGCCTTCCTGCCTCAATGTCCCTGTGTGTTTCCAGAAGGAGGGCCACCATGCAGCGCCCTGTTTCTTCCTTTTGAAGCAAAGCGGCCCCTTCAAGATCAGCCTTATCAGCCCCCACCTAGGCACTTCCCTTTCCCATGGCCTCATACGGAGAAACACCAAACACCGGCAGGTCTCGCATAGGCAGCAAGCCACACTGGTCTTGCACAACCCAGTTCAAAACGGGCCGCTAATAGGCTTGACCCTCCCGGCCCTCACCGGTAGACGCTGTCCCGAGGCTGAAGGCTGGGGTTGCCTGCGATGCAGCTGCTGTGCTCACAGCGGCGTTGGTGGAGGCCGGAGCAACTCCAAAGGTCGGGCCGGTTGGCACCGTTTGCGCCGGGCCGCTCCCCAGCGAGCCGAGGCTGAAATTCGGAGCCCCCGTCTGGGCCGCCCCTCCAAAGCTGAAGCCTCCGGCGGCGGCGGCGGCAGCGGCTGGAGCTGGTTGTGGCGTCGTCGTGGCTGAGCCAAACACGAACCCCGCGGGTGCCGCCGCTGCCGCCGCCTGGCTGCCCGGCACGCTGCTGCTCGCGCCGGAGCCGGCCAGTCCGCCGCTACTGCCCAGCCCGAAACCACCGGTCGCGGCGGGGGCCGTCGTGGCACCCGAGCCCCCCAAGCTCAGCTTGGGCGCGTTGCCTCTGAAGGAGAAAGAAGGGGGCGGTGGGACGGCTTCCCCGGCGAGGGCAGCCCCTCGCTCGGCACCGCCGTCCCCCTCCAGGGCCACGACCCGCCAACGCCCGGACGGAGGAGCCCCTCTCACCCCAGCGTGAAAACGCCCGCCGCGGGAGAAGCCGCCGCCGCCGCCGCCGCCGCGGACGAGGCCGGGGGCATCCCGAAGCTGAACGCGGAGGCCTGCGTGGAGGCGGCCGGCGTCGCGAAGGAGAAGAGCCCGGCGGCGGGCGGGGCGCTCCCGGCGTTCGGGGCGGGGGAACCGAAGCCGAAAGACCCGCCTGAGCCTGAGCCCGCCGAGATGGCCGAGGAGAAGGAGAAGCCCGCGGGGGCCGCGCTGGTGCCGCTGCCTCCGCCCGTCTTAGGCGTTCCGAAGTTGAAGCCGCCGCCCGCGCTGAGGCCGAATTGATTCATGGCGCGTCCCTGCCCTAGCAGCCTCGCCGCCGCCGCGCGCACCGATGACGATCACGGCGCGCGCCGGAGGTAGCGGGCCCGGAAGCCGCGCCGTTGCCGGGCAACGCGGGAGGGACGCAGCGGAAGTGAAGTCCATGGCGGCGCCCGCTCCTCTTTCGGCCGACTCGCTGCTGGCGCTGACCGGACTGCTCTCCTCGGGCTCCGGGAACGGCGACAGCGCGGACCCGGTGGGGCCCGGGGCGGGGCGGGCGCTGGGGCGGGCGCTGGGGCGTCCCGGCCTGTCTGCCTGAACCCGCCGCCTTCTCTCCGCAGGCGCAGGGCCCCGCGGGCGACCGCTCCGGGCCGGGGAGTATCGGCCCCCCGAAGGCCGGCGGCGCCTCAGGTGAGTCGGCGGGGGCGGAAGGAAGGGACCGAGGGCCCGCTTGTCCTCAGCCAGCCCGTCGGCTCCCGGAAGCCGCGGAAGCGCCGCTCAGAGCCCCGTCTCTTCCCACAGCCGCCCCGCAGCCTCCCGAGGAAGGCAAGGCCATCTGGAGCGCCGAGGAGGTGACCGAAGGGAACACGGGCGACGCCTCATGGGACCCCCGGGAGCAGCCGGAGTACGTCCTGGCGACCCTTTCCCCTCAGGGTCCCCGCGCCGTAGGTGGAAAAACGGCCGTCCTGCGAAAGGCTCCCTTGGCGCCCTCTCCGTCGATGATCCCCCCTGAACGAAACCGGGGAAGGAAAGTCGGCGGGCCCCAGCTCGATCGAAACCGGGGCTGGGGGGGGGGCGGTAGACCCAACTAGAGCAGAATTTCCCAATGATTTGCTGCTCTGCCAGCTTTTTCTATTGGTTTGAGAGTTGCTATAATTTCTCTGTGAGGAAGAAACATCCTCTAGACGATAGGAGAAAGGATACTCTCTGAAGCATCCACTGAAACTCCAACTGCCTGACTCCCGGTTCTTTACAGATATGAGATTGTGTTCAAGCAACAGGTGAGGGCTGAGGATCTGTTCCTAGGCATGAGCAGAAAGGACCCCTCCACTGCCTGCTGCGAGGACATGCTGGTAAGAAGCGAAGTGGCAGTTCTTCTTGGCAACGTTTCTCTGGGCGGTCCTTCCCAGCTTTTCACACCCAAAGCTACACAACATTATTTGAGTTGTGAATTTCAAAAGTTTGGCAACTGCCCTTTCTCTCTACACATTATATTATAAAGCATCTAACCTAACATTTCATATATTTGAGATGATTCTGTTGTGCATAAATATAGGAGGATATCCATAAGCCTCCCTTATCCTTGTCAAAGGATGCCCCCAGCTTTGACAGAGGTTGTACAATGGTTTCAGAACCTCTAACATTGTTCTGTTGTTTGAAATAGAAAAGCAACAGTGTAACACATCTAGCATGCATCCCTTCCTATTGAATATAAGCATGGATGCACAAAGGATTCATTTAACATACTTAATCTCTTTTCCTCACTTTTTGTTTTTCCAATTTCAGATTAAAATTAAACTGCCGGACACAAAAGCTTCAGACATTACCCTTGATATACAAGAAAAGCTCCTTGATTTTCGGAGTCCCCAGAAGTATGCTAAATAATTTATTTTTGTGAGAATATTCTTATATTGACTTTAGAAAATAACATTCCAATAATATTTGAGACGTCTTGGCTGTGAGGTTCAAGCTTCAGAGCAAGCAGGAGCAGATTGCTGCCTTCTCTTGATGCTGTGATAGGTCTGCCATGCTACAAGCATATGGAACAGTGTTCATAGGAATTTCTTATTGGGAAAGTCTCTGAGCTTTATATGCCTCCTCTCTCTGATCCCCCCTTCTGGTGTTTACCTTTCTGCTGCTTACTGCAAATGCTGGGGGAGCGGGGTGAGTCCATTTTGGATATAGCAGTCCCCCTGCTCTTCGCGCCTTCCTCAATTTCACCTTAGAATGGTCTGTTTTCCAGGCGGCTCCTTTTGCATCTACCTCATCCAGTGGATACCACCAATGGGAAAGCCCGTTTTCTGTCTGAACAGGCTACACTGGAAGTCACTTTGAGGATGAAGCGAGAATTGGATTTCATCAACTTCGCATGAAGAGAAAGAAGAATCAGCCGCTCAGAGGTCCGGGGGAGATTTTCTAGTGAGGTAATTTGAGAGAAGAAGATCCTGCCACCTGTTCCAAAGAATTACTGAAGTGTCCAACAGGCCTTCATGCCAGCATCAGGATACCTTGAGGTCTGGCTATCCTACCCTCTTCTTGATTTCTGACACTGAAATATTTCTAGGAGGCCTCTGGCTTCTCCACTTTCCTTAATTGTTGCTTCCTTGGGGTCCATTCCTCCAACATCGGGATCAGCATGTGAGGGACAACAGATGCAAAGTGGGATCATACTGGCTGAGCTGCTGACTGCTTTGACTTCTGTGCCATTTATAGATAATAAAAGTCCTGTCCTTTTTTGTTTGTGCCCACTTCCATCCTTTGCAGAAGCTCTGCCCTGGCCAGCACAGCAGGAGCTTCCTTTCAATTGATGCCTACCTGCTTTCTGGGCTGTTTGCAATGGAACAGGGAACTAAACAAGCTCAGGCTTATTCCAAGAGAAGCTGACCTCTCTGTTCCAACAATGGATGTAGGGTTTGGTGAAGAATAAGCAGAGTCTTCCATGGCATAAAGTCAGCATTTAGCACAACAGAGTTTCCATCAGGAGGGCCCAAGTTACAAGCAAACATGCAACTTGAAAAGCACATAGGAGAAGAAGCTCCTGCTGATGTGGTTTGCAGCAGAGGGAGAAGATGTGGGCAAATGAGAGCTTGTTCGTGGTCTCTTCAATAGAATGGGACAACTTGCAAGACATCTGTCATCTCCTGGTAACCAATTAAGCCCTACTTCCTGTTGGTTCTACTTAAATGATAGTGTTTATGTTTAATCAGAAGAGCCCAAGGAGACAAAGTCGGGCCAGATAAAAACAGATGAAGACAGTAAAAAGCAGGATGAAGTTAAGTCAGCAGGAGGACATTGTTAATGTTGACCAACTTGGAGGCCGGGCACAGAGGGGAATGTGACAGATTGGTACCCTACCTCTTTTGGAAATGCATATCAAATCCCTGGAGCCACAAGAAACAAGAAAAGTTATTCAGCACAGTACCAAGAAGCATTGTCAAGGCAGTGGGAACTTGGATTGGCCCTGCTGAATGAGATGGGGAGAGAAGGACATGCCTTTTCACTATAGCAGGATTAGAGGTAAGTGGCAAAAAGGCAGAAGAAACCCTTAGGAAGAAAAATAATCGACTTTTCAAAATACCAGTTACTACAGATGCAGGCTCCCAAATCCATCCAGTACCTAAATCCTCTTCTGTGTGTTACATCCTGGACCAAAAGGAGTTTTCCTTTGAGATGGTGTCAACAGGGAACTAAGGCAGAGGACTAATCCTTCAGCAAATATTTGCTCAGCTCCAGGTCCAAGCACCCATTTTTCCAAGGAAGAGTTTTCTTACCAATTTTCTCTTGGGGCACTGGTTGGACTGATTGAGGAGGAGGTCTGTGTCTGCTCCAGAACCTGGAACGGGCGCCCCTCAGCAGCAACCACTCACATACTTGGGACATGTTCCCCAACCAGCACCCTCCCTCTCTCTTCCCCTCCCCCCAACTTGGCTATTGAAATTAAGGCTGGCTTACCCTCAGCCCCACTCTTGATCACCAAGCCCAAAGTCTCAATCTGAAACCCACCCAGAGGGGTAGGGGAGCAGGGAGATGTGTATTTTCCCACCAAGGGTGAACTTAAAATCTACAATGCCGCTTTTTTAGAATGCTGCGCCAAAACCCTTTTCTTGGGGGGGGGGGGAGGAAAACAAGGCTCCTTCAGGCAAGGCTCCTGCTGCCGCCGCCGCCGCCGCGCTGCAAAGCCCGTGCGCAGCAGAGGCGCTCTCCACAGGGCCAGAGGTTGGGTGGCTTTCCTGCCGGTGACGTTAGCTCGCTGCCACCTGACGGCCGAAGTAGGGGCGAAGGGCCCTCTTTATCGCGAGGGCCTACTGGAAGGGATTTTGCCGCTCCCCTTCGGCGCGTTCCCTGGGGGCAGATTTTAAATTCTGTCCGCCTCACCGGAACTGGGCAGCTAAGGACGAGCGTCCCGAGCGAGACGGGGAGCGGCGGTGGCGGCGGCGGCGGCGGCGGCGGCGGCATTCGGGGCAGGGGATTGGGCTGGTGCGAAGCGCCTCGAGGAAGAGCCAGAGGGGCTCTTGACGCCGCCGTCTCCCGCGCGCGTCCGTCCACCCGCCGCCGCCTGGCCGCCTAGTCCCGCTGGCCTTCCGGGAAGCCTCGCCCGCCCCGCCGCCGCCGCCCTGTCCGAAGTGCCGCCGCGAACGAAGGGCGAGCACGGAGCGGCCAAAGGCGGGCATCTAACGCCCTGTCGCAACCTCGCCGCCGTCCCAGTAGAGCCGCAGCGGCGGGAGCGAGTACCAGGTAGGCCCCGAGGTTCCCTCGCTCTCTCTCTCCGTACCTCTGCCAGTCCTCGCGGAGAAGGGCTGCTTGGGGCCTTCGGGGGAGCCGGCGGGCGGACGGGCGTCGCGGGGCGATGTTTGGACTCGAGGGAGCCGCGGCCGCACCACGCCCCCTTTGCGGGCGGCCCTGCCCCTCCGACTGCGGTCAGTCCCCGGGAAACCCTCCCGCAGGCCGCCGCGAGCTCTCCACGCAGCTCTCCGTGGCCGCGCCGTTCCGTGGAGCGCGGGCGGCGAGAAGGTTTTGCGGAGGAATGAAATGCACGATGGACGCCTCGCCCCGCCAGACCGCTGCACCTTGCGGGCGCCTCGGGTCTCGGGCAGCCCTCGCGCTAGCCCGGGGCGGGCAAGAACATGCTGGTGCGCCGGAGATCGGTCTCCCTGGGGACACGGGGATGCCGGCCGGTCGGAGGCTGCTGGGGCGCCGCCTCCTCTCCGAGCGGGCCTGGCCCCTCTCTCTCCCCGGCCGGAGCGCCGCGGTCTCCGGAGCCCTTCCGACCCAAAGAGAAACAGGGCTTCTCTCCTTGAAACAGCGTTAAAGCGAACGCATCGAGCGGCGGCAGAACCGGGCTGCCGGGAAGGCGGGCAGCGGGGAGATTTACCTCGGGCCTTCTTTTCTTCCAGCCCTGCGTAGCAGGTGGGTCTCCCCTCCGCTCGCCGGCCCAGCCTGCCCTCCGGCGCGCCGCGTTCTTCCTTCATTTCTTAAGCTAAGTCGCGGGGCGGCGGCCTCTCCCCGTTGCCTCGGCGCCTCCGTGGCGCCAGAGGGGCTCTGAAGAGGCCCGGGGAAGTCAGAAGCGCTCTTTGCGGACCCCCGGGTCTCTCCTCGCCCTGAGAAAGGAGCGACCACCTCCCAGGCAAGCGAAAGGGAGCTTGGCGGCCCGGGCTGGCGGTTGCTGTGCCCTTAGCAAGAGTTGTGACTCTTCGAGATCGAGGGCTGGCCCGGGAGAGGCTGAGCCCCCCCCCCCCCAATTCCTCTCTGGGATCTGGAAAACTGGCGGGGAATAGCGATCTTTTTCCCGGAGATGTAGGCCACGGAAGAGGGATCTCTTTAGTGTTTTTTCGTGGGCACTGCTGGGGGCGGGGGAGGGGGGTGAGGGTGGGGAGACAAGCGCGTGCCGGCCCATCTTGCTCTGCTGCTCTCTCGGACAGCAGGAGTTTCTTGCCGAACTGAGCCGGGAGAAGAGCGAAAGCACGCCCCACTTTCCTGCGGCTCCTCGAGATTGCTCTCTCCATTCGGGGTCGTCCTTTACCATATCCTCAGTTTTCCGCTGGGGAGGGATGATAGGTGTTGTGGCAACTGAGCATCAGGGAGGTCTCATAATTGGCATGCGTGAAGGGTAGGAGGCTACCCCGGGTCTTCTCTTGGGGTAACTAGGCAAGCCAAGTAAGCAGGGGAAATGGGGAAGGGAAAAAGGGGTGCATGTCAGAGCTGGAGCTTCCAAAGACAGGCTTCTCCTGCATGGGGGGGGGGGCAGAGTCGGTTTTCATTTGGGGTGCTAGTTAGGGAATGGGGAAGGAAGACAACTGTTCAATGGTTAGAGCACAAATTGGCAATTGACTCTGGATAAGCCTCTTAGAAGCAACTGGCCAATTCAGTAAGGATTCCCACCCATCCAATATATTCAAATGCGATGCGTAGATTAGTACAATGCCTGTTGTATCACTATGTACATACTTGTGCATATTTACTCTTTTAGCTTATTTCTTCTAAATTATATGTAGACAAATTAAATGAGAATGATCTACTAGAAGGAAGGAATTCATTGGTATGGTGGAGTCAGGAAAATCAGCAAGGATCCTTCATGAAGGCTACAAGCCAGGAAGATGCTGAGCTGCTGGCTGAGGAACCAAAGATGGCTGCACTCTCACTTCCTGGTGGGGGAGCAGGGTTTGCGCGTGTGTTATTTTATGAGGATTTTACCCCTTTCCTCATAAAATGAGAACAAAAGGTTTGGGGATTTGCATGAAAAAAGGGGGTTTGAAGCAACAGAATGAAATCATGTTTTTAACCCATTTAACCCTGTTGATCAATGGCTCCCTCCTTTTCACCCCTCCCAATGAACTTAATGGCCTTTTGGTATGTTAAGAACAACTGCAAAAATGTATGATCATATAACTAATAAAGGTATTTTTTGGCTGTCAAGCGATGGCTAAAATCCCTAGTTTGGTATTTAAATTAGGCTATTTTGGACATATATTCCAAAATCTGACATAGCTGTAGCTCTACATACATACACACACACACACACACACACACACACATAAACAAAAGTAGTCTTTCTCAATACTGAACTCCCACACTTATCATCCCTAACATAACATTGTGGTGGGGGGGAGGCATTGGAAAGCCCATGTTTCTGTTTGCCTTGCCTCACACCAGTTTACCATTCAGGCTCTTTTTCCCAGGATTGGCAGGGCTTTTGCAGCTGGAGACTCCCTTCTTCCAGAGAAGAGCAAGACAGGGAAGCCTGCCTGGCTCCTGACAGGCCCCTTTTCCCTTTTCCCTGGCAGGCAGAAGAGTGTGAGAGGGCAGTGTCCTTGGCCGAGGCAAATAAATAGAATAGAATAGAATTGAAGGGACCTTGCAGGTCTTCTAGTCCAGCCCAAGCAGGAGAACTTATACCATCTCAGACAAGTGACTGTCTAGCCTCTTCTTAAAAATCTCCAGTGATGGAGTGCCCACGATTTCTGAAGGCAAGCTGTTCCACTGGTTACACTCTGCAGAAGCTAATAAACCTCTGCAGTGGCTAGAAAGACAGAAGACCAAGCGACATCTAAGCTTGAATCTTTGGATTGTGATAAAAAGCTCCATCTGGGAGGCAGCCAAGAATTCAGGCAGTAGCAGAAAGAGGTGAAGGCAGAAGAGAGCCTTGGGACACCACGATCTCCTCCTCCTCCTCCTCCTGGTTTCTCTGATTAGTCCTGAGCCCAGCCCACCAAGCCTTTCAAGAAGCCTGGGAAAGCTGGGCCTTTGTTGAGAGGCTACTGGCTTGGCAAGGAGGCCACAGGGAACTGCCTTTGATGGAAACTCTCTTCTCCAGGGACGGCTCAGCAGAACGCCCTTGGACTGCAGTCCTGCTACTCGGGCCCCTCCGTGAGAAAGGACTTGCAGGCGGAATTCAGAAATTAGAGTGATGTGGAAGCTGCCCTGAGTGCCAGAGAGGAAGGGGAAGATACAGAAATCCAGAAGGCCAGGATGTCTGGATTTCCCTTACAGGAGGGCTAGGCAGAATGCAACAATGAGAAGGGGAGCAACATGAAAATGGGATGGGGAGAGATTGTGTCAACTTTGCAAATAAGGGGGGGCGGATGGTATTGACATCACAAGAATGTAGTTTGGGTCATTGCCCAGCATCATTCCACACCTGTGGACTTTTTCTGAGAGATGCTCACTATCTCCTCTCTTCTTAGGACTACACGGGATGGCTTGTGCCATGGGAAATAAATGGTGAGGAAAGTGATGGCAGTGGAGAGCGCTTGCCGGACATGGCCCATTTCTAGCCAGAATGGCTAATGTGGGGAAATCTGCCTACAGGCTGCTGCACTGCAGAAGCCTGGCTTAGCTTATGGCCCTTCTCTAGGATTTTAGAGCATAATTTGGAGCTTGAATTCTGCCTGCCCTTGGGAAGGAAAGACGGGTCCTTATGCACCACACCTCTTTGGGAGACAGGTGGTCTATTATCAGCAAACAGTAGTTAGTCCTGGTCCTGGTCAGTCAAATTTATTCCTGTCACTGGAGGGAATTCAGCAAATAATTTCCTACTGTTCCAAGATCTTTTCCCCATGTACTGTTGGCAAACCAGGTACCTGAAGAGTCTTCATGACAAACCTCTATAGACATCTGGTAATCATCTCAGCATGTTCAGATGTTCAACAGTTGGTTGCCTTATGACTTCCTAAGAAATGTTCCTGGGTACCAAGGTCAGACTGACTGGTCCATCGTCCCCAATTTTTCTTCTTCCTTCTTTCTGAAAAGAAAATCAACATTTGATACTAGTTATTTGATACTTCTCTAATTTTCTGGGATTTTTCAGAAAGATTCAGCCAACCGTCAGTAAGTTCCTTCAGGATTTAGAGTGCAACCTATTTGGTGTGCTTCTTCACCAAGTATATTGAAGGCTCAAACCACAACCTTACCCCTTCCTGCTTTTCATGATTACCTAGTGAAACATATAGATTCTTATTTAAGGAAATAGTCAAAATATAACTTCTCTCTTTCCTTTGTTCCTTGTTATCATTTTTCCATCTCCATGAAGCAGCTCTATAGTATACTCTTTTTTTTTCTTTGAAAGAGAGAGAGAGAGAGAGAGAGAGAGAGAGAGAGAGAGAGAGAGAGAGAGAGAGAGAGAGATGGGCTCTTCTTTCCAGGCCCCTTCGAGCTCCTCATTTTGTCTTCCTTTTCTTCAGAACTTCACCAATTTTTTGTGTAGTCAAATTTGCCTCTTCTTTGCCTCACTGGAACTATTCGTAATTTTATTGCCCATCTTAAACTATTTTTTTCTGTTATCATATGGCATCATTTCATAATTGCCCTGATTTTATTAAAATTGTCTCTCTTGGAATCCAAGCCATGTTACTTGATTGTTGAGTTCAGTTTCCCTTAAAATCAGGAACGTGTCCTCTTTCCTGCTTTCCTGTTCCTGCTGCTTCTACTCATAGTTTTCTTGAATTGGGAGAAACCCCAAGTCTTCCCTCAAAGCCTCTCCAGGAAGGACGGAGGGCTGCCCACCCCAGCAAGAAATCTGTGAAGAGGCAGGCCCAGTGTTGTTCTCCCAACAAACGTCTAGAAAGTAAAATGCCCTATCCCAGTATTTCATACCTCTTGGAAAAGTGTGTGATTTTCTTTGAGAAAATACCACCGACACTTTTAACAATATTGTATGTATTCCTTTCTCCAGTCATTTTTATTCAAATAATTTATATTCATTCATCAGATTTGCCAACCTCATTCACTTCGGCTGCTTA